AGGGAGGGAAACCGAAGGAGGTCACGGGCCTAGGGTGCAAACTTCCAGGCTCCCCCCTCCCACCTCCCCCCCTCCCTCCCTCCCTCCCCCCCTCCCCCCCCTCCCCCCCTCCCTCCCTCCCTCCCTCCCTCCCTCCCCTTCCCTCCCTCCGTCCATCCATCCGTCCGTCCGTCCATCCATCCTGCCATCATCTAGCCTTTGATGCCACTATCCAATAAGGATGATGTGCTTCGGATCAGAAGATCCGTTCTGTCAGCTTATTCGTTGACATGTTTTGGATGGCGCAACAAACTGAAGCGGCTCTGCGAGATTCAATTTCCGACAGTTTTTCGATCATACCCCTTATGGTTGTGTGCGAGGGTGTGCAAAAACTTAGTAGCTGATGAGCATCGGTTCGACTCAAACCTTAGAAGCTGTGCATTAGAACCCACAACAGTCCAGCGTACTATCCAGCGGATGCATCACCGCACCAAAAGCCAGGGAGATGTACTTCACAAAGCCATTGCCTTGCCCATGGCATAGCACACAGACGAGACTGCGACCTCCGAAGATGTGTGGACAAGAGATAGTGAAGATAGTGATTGAAGTTGCTCAGGGCTCGGCGAAGTCTGCCTTGCAAAACGCCGGGGTCCCCGAAGGAGTGTTAAGGTTTGGTAGGTAAGGTTTGGGAGATTCTGGGCGGGTTTTTCGTCCATTTGCCTGAAGTGACACGTTTTTCCCGCTCGTCTCTGCTCTACTCCACTGCAGGAGGTGCGCTCCACATCCTAGCCAGCCTGGCCGCCGGAGTCGTTTCAACAACGGTGTCATGCCCAAAGATGGGGAGCGGAAGCAGCGTCCGAATCACAGACGACACAGATGCTGAGGTGACCGCGCCGGTTGATGTCTTGAAGACCAAGGCTCCAGAAGTAACCCTGTGCCTTATTTTGTGTTATCTGCGGCTGCGAAGCCTTGAGAGCTGTTGCAGGTCATGAGCTCGCAGGACGGGGCTCCTCTCAACATCCCGGGACTGGTCAAGAAGCAGGGCCTCTTCGTTTTCTTTAAGGCACACGCCCGGTGCGCGGTATTCCTGTCATCGACCCTCATTGTGAAGACTGCGATTGTTCTATCCTCTATGTGCCTCGATGTGCCTTGGAGATTGAAAGCCAGGGGTGGCTGGCCAACTACGTGCGCATTGGCCCGCAAACGCTCTTCATCTTCGATACTTGGCCGGCGATTTGTATACAGATGCGGCCATAAAGTCTACCTGGGACCGTTGTAAGAGAACCTAGGTGTTTTTCGAGCAGTCTCGCCTGCTCATGGAACAGTGGAGGAGATGACCTGAAGTCGCATGTTTTCCGGCATTCTGAGATTGAGTGCAGGCGACCTTGTAGGAGGCTCGCGCTTGGAGCGGGAGCTGACTTGTTTAGCAGTTGAGAGCAGCGAGAACCAAAAGCTTCCACATCTCTACCATTGTCTGCTATGACATCTATCAGGCTTTGTGGAGCATGGTGTTCTTCCGCGACGTTGTAGCTTATCGTAGCGTCTCCCTCCGTGATGAGGTCATATGCCTGGCACATTGGTGTGTACCCTGCAGCCGAGGAGCATTTGAGAGAAGCTTCGTACATTAGCGAAGTTGGTGTACCATGCAACTTGACCGGACCTGGAAGGACGCAGCCGTACTCGCAGCTCTCGGTCACTGCCCCACTTTGCGTTCTTGTACCTTTGTCTACTGGGAGCTGGCAAAGCTTATAAAGCAGGCATGGTTGTCCGAGCTTCTCTTGCTCAGGTGACCACCCCTGCAAACGTGGGGGCCTTTCTTCCCCGAGTCTCCATCATGGTCCCAGCTTGATCCTGCCAAGTCCTTGGTCCTGGAGCGAACATTATCAACCCCAATACTTCCGAAGGGAGCTCGCTCCTCAGACCGAGTCAGCAGAGCTTCGTGTCTTCTCAAGCCTTCAAAAAGCGGCAGGAGCCCCTTCCAGAGCTCCGGAAGATCAACAATCCCAGATGGCGACGGCGAGCCTGAGCGTTTGCTTGGACCACTTTTCCCGAAGCCTTATTGTTTCTATTGTTACATAATACGATGATTATTGTTATTATTGTCTATGTCTATGTTATAATTGTTATTATTGCTATTCTTCTTTACTTTTTTGTTATTTATCGTTATCACGTTTATTATCTTCTTCATGTGCACCAGGCCGAAGAGCAGCTCAGATGTCACACGCTACGCGGAGGCGCCCCTCGGCCTCAGCCGAGCAACAGTAGAGCCGGAGGGCAGCAGCGCGTTCTCTGATGATAAAACTAATAGATAACATCAGATTATACATCTTCATAATTAATGTACATGTACATATATCATATATATATATATAGATGTATATCTGTCTCTTTCTCCCTCCCTCCTTGGATGCATTGAGTTAAGCTCAGGTTTTACAACATGAACGGCTGCAGTCCCTTTGCTTCCTCTGCCGGAAAATGACGTGCGCCCGGCTTGCAGAAGTTCTAGTGTCTCATGCAGAGAGTTCATGTTACAACGAGGACCACGAACGCGTTGTTGTGCTCCTGCGGGATGTGGAGGTACTTCCTACCGGTACCTGCGTTGCAGCTGCACGAGAGCCGCGCGTGAACAGCAAGCCCAGCTCACAGCAAGCAGGTTTTTCATGTCATCGTTTTGCCCTTCGGGGTTTCAGTGATGCAATAGCATCCAGGCTGCGAGGGCCCTCTGGACCCTTGTGAAGCAGCTACTGGCTCTGCTTTGGTTAATGCGGAGCCTTTGCAGCTCTTTCGCCGCATCCAACGCATCTCATCAGCTCGGCAGTGCGCCAGCTGATGTGAATTTTCAGTCGCACCAAGCGCGCAGGATAACAGCGGCATTTTATGGAAGACGCAAAGCGACTTCTGAGTCCATGGCAAACGTCATGGGCCATGGGGCTCCAGTCCATGGTCTGGAGTGTCTCACGAGAGAAGCATCCACTGGCTGAAGCCACGAATGCTGACGGTAAAGAGTCGCGCAGTGTTTGCAGCGCATGCGCTGGTCGAACATTAGAGGCTGCGTTAGTACATGTGTCGCTGCTGCAGCCATTAGGGAGCTAGAGGGAAGTTGTTGGGATTCCGTTCCCTCCTGAGGATGCAATCCAGGCGCATCGGCAGCAAAGCCAGCAAAGCCAGCAAAGCGCTTTACACCAAGTCTTGTGAAGCCTGCAGGTCCAGCTCAACTTCAACCTCTGAGGCATCCGAAGCCTCCAGGCAGCGGATCATTCTAGAAGCTCTGGGCCTCTCCGACGGCGAGAATGAGGCGTTAGAGCCTAGCCATCCTGAGCCCGATCCAGTTCCTCAGCCGGAAGCAGCACAGCTGCACTCCAGCCCCACTGTAGGCTTGGACCGTATACATCGCCTTTGGCAAGAGGGCTGCTCTCACTCGTCACTTGCTGCAGGTTAGAGATGCCTCTATTGCATCCAGCGTCAGCGTGGCAGAGGAGATCACAAGCCAGAGATCGCTGAGGCATCTGAATGCCATACTGACTGAGATGGCGGTGGACACAGATGCGAAGCAGCATGCCGATCCGGGAAGTGCACGAACGCCAGACGATCCCGGTCCCAGAGCAAAGGAAAGTTTCAGCCAGGTGCAAGATCTTGTTGCAGCTTCTGAAGATGTTCAAGACAGCCAGCCGGAGGTCGAGCAGCTGGAGGATCGTGTCGGCATCTTCTCCGCGGACGAGATCAGCACGGAAGGGGGGTACAGCTTGGCCGCATGTGATGCCACCATGGAGCCGGGTCCTCAATAGAGAGATTGACTGAAGCCCTCGCAGCCGAGACATGATTAGCCTTTGAAATCAGAGCAGAAGCTGGGCTCTCGCTTTGCCAGGGATCCTTGCCTTTGGCTCGCGGACAAGAGCCTTGACCCGTTGCTGGCATTGTTGGCTAGCGAGGCTCCGACAGCCCCTGACTGCTTGTTCGCAGATCATCTCCGGCCTTTGGGGCCAAAACTTCAAAACACCGAAGGTAAAACACACCTTGTAGCTTTCGATCCGCTTGAAAGTTTTGTGTGACGCAGGTGAAACCCCAGGAGATCGGAAAGCCACAGATTCCCAGGGCCGTCCTGGACCGGGCTGTCTGCATACCCAGCATGAACCCTTTCTGTTCCTGTGCATTGGCTCTACGCTGGTCGATTTTCGAGGTTTGGGAGCTCAGCCGGGAACATGAAGAGCTCCTCCGAATTGCAGATCAGCAGGCTCGTTCTTGGCTTGTGATGCCGAGCTTCTGTTTCCTTGTCTGTCTCACCGCTGAGAATCTAAATCTCCAACACCACCGGAGAGCTGCCTCTGCTCTCCCTTGGTTGCCGCTGTTGGTTGCCGCGAATCGCCACAGTCACGATTGTAGTTGTGCCACCGTGGCTTTTGGCTCTATCTCTACAGCCATGGTAGGCAGCAGGAGCTGCTAGCTGAGAGCGATGGGCCAGGCTGGCAGCGTCAAAGAAACATTTCACGGGTGGATTTGTGGCAGTGGTATCGAAGAAGGGTGCCTTGGCGCACGAGTTGCAGCAAGTGCACTCAGAGCGTATCTGCACGGAGATGGGTTTCGGTCTGAGGTCTGGCGGTCGCCGCGTGGTGGCTGCGTCTGCGAGCCGTTCCCGGCCAATGGAGCGGGCAAGCCTTCGAGCAACATTTCGGCTGCGCTGTGCGGAGCGGATCACTCCGAGCGAGCTCAGCAAGGTGTGGGCAGTGGGCATGTCATGTCAGAGCCCGCCATATGACCACGAGAATCGGCAGGACTGCCCTGTAAAGTTGGTCGTGTTTGACTTCGATGAGACCCTGACTCTGGCGACCTTCATGACCGGCAACTGTGAGTACGCAGATGACGAGGCCCCCAAATTCTTCCTTGAGCATGTGCCCTTGCAAGTTGCAAGACATGTTCCCCGTTGGCGTTTCCTATGCCCTATGCTTTGCTGTAGTGGACATCTTAACGGTAGAACTCGGTATGTTCGTGGACATATTGGTGTGTGAGAGACGCGCGACGATTCACCAACTAACACCTAGCTTTACGGTGCTGTCCCCACCCGCTTTTGAGAGATTCTCTATGTGCCGAGAGATGCTTGTGTCAGGAGAAGGACATTGCCAGAGTGATCAACTTTGAAACACCCTGGGTCGAGGGCTCCCGAATCGTCAAGCTTCAGAAGATGCTCCAGGCAATCAAGGAAGGTGCCGACGGACGGCGTCGATTCCTGACCGTCCTTACCAACAATGGCAAGGGTGTGCAGGCGGTGATCAACATGCTGAAGATTGCTGGTTTGGATTCCTTCTTCAGCGCTGTGTGGACGATGCCTTGGCGACAGTACATGCCCAATGGGGCCTACAAGGATCAGAAGGGTGAGTGGAAGCTTTTTGACCCTCCATCGGACAAGGTGCGAAACCACAAGGCGGATGTGTTGACACATGTGACGAAGTATCCCGATGCTTGGTTTCCGCAGATCGGCCAGGACAGCAGCTTCGCGGCCATCGAAAACCTGCAGATGGGAAACATCGTGCTGGTTGACGACCAGCGCGCCAACTTCCAAAGTCAGTTTGGTGCCAGCATACTGCGCTACTGCAAGGTTGCACGGTATGATGCAGATCTCTACTACGACATGCGCATGGTCAAGAACATGGGGGGTATTGGTGCCCACCATGATGCGGACTATGACACGTTGAAGCGCTTCGTGGAGGACCCCTGGATGTGCAAGGAGACCCTCCAAATCCGCTGCCAGGAGCGGGATTTTCGGGGCTGGGAGGGTCAACCGCCAGTGAAGCTCGTCGTTTTTGACTTCGATGAGACGCTGACGTTGGCCACCTTCATGCCCCAGAGTAAGGCCATTGCAACCAAGGTCGGCTGGACTCCGGCAGAGGCGGCTTTCAAAGACTGGAGCCAAGAAGATCTTGTGAAGTATAACTTTGATTCCCCGTGGTGTGAAGGAAGGGTGCAGAAGCTCAAGTCGATGTTTGAGGATATCGTGCAGGAGCAGCGTGTCTTGACCATTCTCACCCAAAATGCAAGTGGGGTTGTGGCGGTGCTGAACTTGCTGAAGCTGGCTGGTTTGGCCGAGCATTTCAGTGCCATTTGGTCCATGTCGCCGACACAGTCTGGCGAGTGTGATGGCGCCTTCTGGGAGAGCGGGCGATGGCACCTCTTCCAGACGCCGTGCTCAGAATGCCACAGGCACAAGGCAGATGTGTTGACTCACGTCGCAGAACACCCACTGCGCTGGTTCCCACAACTAGGAGGGGCTGAGAGCGTCACCTCTCTTATCCTCAGCAATCTCCGTCTTGAGAACATCGTTTTGGTGGATGACGAGCGTGCCAACTTCCGCAGCGAGGCGAGCCTTCAGGCAGCCATGGTACTGCGGTACTGCAAGGTAGCCCGGTATGACGAGACTTACCGCGACTGTGGTCTACTGGATCAGATGGGTGGCATAGGGGCTCATAGTGATGGGGACTATGAGGAGCTCCGGAGCTTTCTCCAAAAGCCATGGGACTATCCCTACCCGACGCGTGCGGAGTTGTCCCCGATGAAGAAGAACGCTTCGAGCGGCATCAGCTTCTCCTCGCATGGGCAAGCTGAGAGTGGGAAGGCGAAGATCGAGCTCGTGCGCTGCAACGAGGACGAGCCGGAAGCTACCCAGAAGGCACCACGTCACAGGATCGGCTTCTGACCGAACCCCCATCTCAGAGATAGGGGATGTTTAGCCTAGCGAATGTCCACTGCCGTCCGGCTCCCATTTCCAGTGCCAGTGAGCTCCAGAAGTGTTAAGAGTGTCCAGGAGTATCGCAGTCAAATCAGGCCAGGATATGGGCAACGCCGCCTGGATGCTTTCACCCAATTCATGCTGAGCCCAATTCCGCTTTGGTGAAGCAGAAGCCAAATCGCGGCTGCATCAAGATAGGGGTGCCACGTCCCGCATGTGAAATGCAAAAGGCGGGCCGTGTAACGGAAGAGCGGCATGATGCAATCGTTGCCTTCAGACGCTTCCGTTCTGCATGCCTGAATGAATCACGCCCAAGGAAACATGGCAGCAGCAGAGACCCATGGCTGCCATGGCAGAGCCGTAATCTTTGTGTCAGCACCTGTTCAACAGCACTCGACCGATGTAGGTTTGATACACTAGGGCTTGGGGCATGAGCTCTTACCGTCTTACAGCACTCAACGTCATGCCATTGCAGTCAGCAAGAATCAGGCTATAACCTGGCAAAACCCCAAATAGTTCCCAGCTGCAATGGAGATCGTCTTGCCAGACTCTCGTGGCCTCTTAGCTCATGCACTCGGGAGGTTTGAGTTTCTCAGAACCAGGTCCCCACTGCGGATTCTGGTGCCGATCTTTCCGGAGAGGCAGCCATTCGGACCCCTTGCGGTGGAGGCGTCGTGAGGGTTTCGTGCGTTAGGTTGCATGTCTAGACCGGTGGAAAAGACAGCGTCGGAGGACATCGCGTTCTCACTGTTCGTGGCAACCTTGATCTGCTCCTCTGCGGGCTACTTCCTCACGAGGAAAGGTGTCAGAGGATCTGCGGTCAAATCTCGGGCTGAGCTCCCTGCGAGGTCGTCACCACTTCTACTGGTGAGGCTCCTCCACAGATTAGCCCCAAGGCTAGAGCTCCGGGACGAAGTTTGGGAGGTTCCTTTGCAGCATCCGCCCTCTTGTCTGCAACGGAGAGAGGATGTGCGTGCTAAGGAACCTCTTCCCGGCAAGGCTTCTGGGCTGCCACAGTCATAGCCCTCGGATGCGTAAAAAAAAGGTTGCGAAGGTTTCAAAGGCTTGTGATCACCAAGCCCTCCTTGAGGAAATCTCGCTTGGGCACGAAGCCGCCGAAGAGGGTTCCTCCACGGAGAAGCGGAAGCTCCTGCGAAAGAGAACCGGGCCGGAGCTTCTCTTCATTGTGGCCCGCCTTGACTTCGTTCTTTCTGCACATTTCTATTTGAGAATCTGCTGTGAGCTGTCTTCTATTCTTTCCTCGAGGTGGTTCACAATGGAGTGGTCGCCACTTTGGCACTTCTAGCATGGGTCTTTGGCGCCCCATCGCTCGCTCTGCACGCATTCTGTCTGGAAGTTTCTTACGAGATCTTCGACAGTTTTAGCCTTGGCTTCCAGAGGAGCGCCCTTGGCCACTGTTCTACCCTAAACTTCCTAAACCCTAAACACTTTTAGGCATTCCAGACGCGGATAGCAAATAAAACACCCTTGGTTGTCTTTGGTGCGGAGGATGGAGCCGGAGACGCTGATCCATCACCTGGTCAGCCCGATCTGCGTCTTGTGTTCGACACAGACGGATGTGGACTTCCGCGTGCTGTGCCAACTCTGCATCTGCATCGATTTGTCGGGCGCCATCTTGGGGATGTGCAAATTTCTGCTGCGGTTCTCGCATTTGTCGGCGTCCAACATCTACAAGAAGCGTGCCTGCAAAGTGAGAGATCTGCTGGCCTGCGACCTTTCGAAGGCCGCATCTCATGAGCTTTTGCCGAGGCGTCTTACAATGGTATACCTGGTCCTGAGAGTCATCCTTCCAGTGATTGCCGTCGTCTGAGCCGTTCAGCCCAGGGTTTGCTGCCACTTGTGGCCCGCTCTGCCTAAGGACACCGTGATCATTGTGTGGCGCGAGCTGTCGGTGAAGGGAGGCTTCTTCTCCAGAATGAAGCTCAACTGTGCAAGGCAGTGCAAGGTGCACAATGGTAGCTGACCTTGCCGACGTTTACTATTGCGCTCGAACTGAGGCAGCTGCAAACAGCTAACACGAATCCCTTTTCGAGGCAGGCATCCGCCCGTGTAAGGAATTTCTAGCTATGTGCCTGAACCTACTTTCCACACAGTCTGCCTCTCAGTGGTTCCGATTGTCGCAGGACCGATTGGATGCAGCTCTACTTCTGGTCCATGGCCGTGCTGGGCTCAGCACAGACAATGCCATCACCTAAACACTGTCAGACTTTCCGCTTCCACACTCCACGTCAGCAGGTCATGAATGCGTTCAACGCGTACTTCTTCCTCGTCGTGAGAGCGCGTGCCAGACTTCCAGCACAGGTTGTGGCAAGCTGGGAAGCACGAAGCTGAAGCATTCCGGAGCGCTCGGAGCACTGCAGCCTAGTTCTGGAACCCAGTCTGGGAAGCACTCATGGAAGAGTCCGGCCGGTGGGCAGCGCCACTGGCTCGTCGAGAGTTGATGAGTATGCGGAGAAGTCGTTTCACTTCTTATATGGTCGCGAGCACGGGCTGCAGGCATCAAAACGGCAGTTGGAGGAGTTGTCGGCTACACAGCTACTGCTGCTACTGCTGATACTGCTAGTTCTGCAACTGCCACTGCTGCGGCTAAGACGACGACTAGTACGACTACGACGACAACCACGACGACTACTACTGCTACTGCAACTACAACAACTACTACGACGACGAGGACTACAGCTACGACTCCTATCACTGCGACTGCTACTATTGCTGCTGCTGCTGCTGCTGCTGCTGCTGCTGCGACTACCACTACAACACCTGCTGTCGCTGCACTTTTGCCTGCTGATCCTGCTGCTTCTGCTGCCACAGTTGCCACTCTGTCATCTTATTCGTGGAAGGCCTCCCTTTCGCGGCTTTGCGCTGAGGGCGAGGTGGCGAAGTGGCGTCGCCGTGCGCGGGACCGAGCGAGCAAACCGGGTCTCTGCAATAAAAATAATGGAAGAGATTAATGATTTCTGTAACACCATTCGCCATGCCCGCGACACATTCAAATGATAGCAAAACGTATACAAGAGGTTGTACGAAGGCCATCATGATAATGATGAGCATAGCAATAGTTCTTGTAGTTGCAGTTTTGTGCAATGGGTTGTTGAACATCAGGGTTCGCGCGGCAATAGGAGGAGGCCCTTTCCTGAACACTGAACACGCCCCGTGCAGAATTCAACTTCAGTTGCTTGCTCTTGCCTCTGTCACCCTTTTCCCAGCCGAGGTCAAGGCGCTGCATCGCCAAATGGCACCTAGCAAGAAGCTCGAGGCGAGCTGCGTGGGCTTAAAAGAGAGCCCTCCTTGATCCAAGCGCAGGCACAGGAAGCTGTGCTCGGCTCCCGGATCTTTTGGGTTTTTCTGGACCTATGGCTTGCTCACAGCAGATGATGAGGTCTCGAGCTGCCGGAATTGCAGGCGGAGATACCCTCCAAGCCTGCCTGAATGAGGCGTGCCACATGTCCTCCCAGCTCATCCTGTGGATGCGGCTGATTCCAGCAGGTGGCACAGAAAAACCACCAAATGCACGACATTATCTCGCAACGCTGCGCAAAGGCTTAGTTCTCAGCAGCTCCTTAGGTGCCTGTTGCACATGTCGCTTGCTTCGTCCCCTCCCTGTCTCCGTCTGCGCGATGTCAATTGCGTGGTTGTGTCAGGCGCGTGAAGCAACCCAACAAGACGCTCGCTGCTGTCCCAGGATTTTTTGTGTGACAAATTTCAGTGGAGACTTCAGCTGATCCCCATTTTTTGCACGGAGCCACTCTGCGGATGGCGCTTGCGCTTGCGTCATTGTGGGGATGAAGAGGCCGTGCAGCTGATGAAAATGCCAACGAACCGGTGACAAGTCGCCTCCTGATGGACCGCGATTTTGTGTACGGACAGTCCACAGACAGTCGCTGCGCGAGCGCGATGACTTTTCCTGTCGAGGAGAGCCACAGACCGGAGTCGGAGGCCATCACCCCAAAAGTCTCTTCAGACGGCAAAGAGCGTGCGGTGCCATGATTTCAACCCTGGCGAGCCGAGGTTTTCAGCTTGGGCCCGAGTGTGCAAGAGCTGCAAGGCTCCGCAGTGCGTTAGGACGAGCAGGCCTTAAAGAAAATCCTACAATCCATTGCGCCCTTCGAGGCTCTGGCGACACTGTTGGAGTCGCTGACATACGACAGCGGAGCATGCCTCAGCTGTCGGAGAGCAGATGCCCTGTGCCCTCGCAGCTTGTTGTGTGCAGGTTGTCAGTCTTGCGCTCACGAGCACATGCCTGGGGAAATGCTTGAAAAGCGTGGGCCTGCTCTGCTCACCCAGGGATGGACATTTCAGGCAGCTTCCGTTGACGTCTCCGGTGTACCGGATCTATCAAGCTTTGGCTCAAAAGGGGAGCAAGATCAGGTGCATGCGATGCTCTGAATTTGCATCCAAGTTGGTCACAGCCCTGAACAGTAGATGAGGTGCGCATGTGCTGCAATGTCCCTCTCGGGATCGCCCTGTCCAGCTGGGTCTTCGTGACTGCGGCTGAGTTGAAGTCATGGCGTACAGAACCCCTCCTCAGAAGCCCAGAAAGCTCCGAATGGATCTATGCCGTACTGCAGTATCATAAACAAAAAATAAACTACAAGAGTTGGATCCAATCAATCGAGTAATAGCCTAGGGTACTAGACTAAATTCTACTAAAACTATACTATACTATTCCACGCTATACTCTGCTCTACTTTACTCTTTTCAACTCTGCTATACTCTAAGGCTCCGGCCTGGACTTTGCGACGGCTTCCCGAGCTTCGAGGGCTCCCCCGTCAGCAGGACGTTGGGGGGCCCCTCACAGTGGCTCGAACCTCATTTCTCCACTGCTGGGAGTATTTTGGGTCTTGTAGTTTGGTCTGGGGCTCCACTCCAGCGGTTGAGGTTCACTGAGGCCTCGGGCAGGTTGACAGCTGCTTCTCGCGTGCTTCTCCCTCAAGCTTGCCAGAAGCCTTGCGTGCAGTACGTTGCAATGCTGCGCAACCTCATCTGCACGTTCTCGGCCGCTTTGGCACTTGCCGAGAGCGGGCTTGGAGAATGATGCTTTTCTACATCGAACTGTTCTGATGTGGTGGCTGCATTGTGTGTAGCTTCTTGCTTCATGGTCATCCTGCACGATATGCGCGCGCAGGGACTTCGAACCTGCAGACTGACGATGAGTGCGATGGACAGGAGGCGTGCGCTTTGAATGCTCTCCAGCTCGGTGGCCGTGGATCTGCGTCAGAGATGTCCGAGTCCAAGCTGAAGGCTCTCATGCAAGAAGTGACTTGGCTTCCGTTCAAGGGTTGACAAGTCTTGAATTGTCGTTGTAGTGGCGGCGCAAGTGCTTGTGTTTCCAGTTGTGATTGTAGCTCCGCATAAACGCTGACGGTCTCAAAGCACGCAGGTGAACAAGACCTTTGCCACCTTTCCTGCCTTGCTTGCCACCCATGCGGGTGCGCAGGGCAATATTATGCAAGTACCCGGTCGCTCAGTCCCTCGTCGGAGTGTCTGTCAGCATGTCCCGTGCTGCGGGCTTGGTACGACGAAGAAAAGTGTCTGCACGAGGAGTCCGAGGACCCAAATCTGGTCGCCAAACTGGGCAACATCTGCGCGCACAAGGCTTGAAATGTGCCATGGAAACCAGTGCTTGCTCGGGCTTCGGGGGCGGCGGCGGCAACCAGTCCATGTTCAAGCCGATACTGACGTGTGCTTGCGATACTTGCCCGGGCACCGCCAAGTCCTTTGAGGGGGCCATGGCCGCTGCCTTCGACGAGTGGCACCTGGAGCGCGCACATAGCCTATGGTTGCCACCGTGAAATGCTTGTTGCATGGTGCCGCCTGTGCTGTGCTCGCGCCTCCACAACAGCTGGAGGCGAACTTCGAGAAGCTGGCTGCCAAGTGCTCCAGCTCTGGGAAGCTCACAGACTTCGCCACACCCTACACCTACCATAGCCACTGTGCCCTGCCTCCGGAGGGTTGAAGGAATGACAGCGAAGGCCGAGAGAACGCGATGACAAGCTTGGCACCGATTCCGCGGAACAACCCTTTCCTCGTCCAGGCTCGGCCAAAGCCGACCCCTAAGGGGAAGGCTGAGGCCGTAGCGAAAGCCAAGGCGAAAGCAAAATTTTTTCAAGGACCCCCTAAGGGGGCGCGTTTTTAAATAGGCCTTGTGCCTTTTGTTTTTCCTTATCACTCTATTTGTCTATGTATCCTCTCCTTTGTTTGTGAGTCATCGTCTAACTACATTTCTATGTACTTTTGGTGCAGGGCCAAACTTGCCTTTGCCTTTTTTGCATGTGCACGCTATTTTTCTTTTATTTCTTTTTCTTTGGGGTCTCCGATCGGGGTTTTGTATTTAGTGTGGTTGGCGTTTTTTTATTCTTGCACGGGTTGCTTGTTCATGGACTCTAATGCCAGGGGAGCTAGACGCGTAAGTCGCCTTAACATTGTCTTTCTAGTAGATCGGGGACCCGGGGGTAGTAAGGTCGGGGGTTTGTCCGGAGCGAGGTTCGCCTCCAGATGCCGAGGACAACCCCCCGACCAGAGCGCCCCTTGTACATACTGGGGACGTATTGTGGTTGGTTTATTGGGATGTGTATGTTAGGTCTGCTAGACTACATCAGCAGGATCTTAGATACAGTGGGGGATTTAGTTATTGTGCAATTCGGGTTTGGGTAGGTTTTCTTTTTGTCCCCGTTTCACGGGTCGTGGGCTTTGCATTGCACTCGGTTATGTTTTTGGTTGTAATTTGTTTGACCTAACTTGCTACGGCATCCTTTAGTTTCTAGTGCTGTATGCAAAGCCCTAGGAGTACCTCCCTAGCGGGTGACCCAGTCTCTTGGCACTGTAATTCACGAATTCAAACCTTGCCTTTTTTAAATTCTTGCTTTTATAAGAGATGTTTGCCGAGCGCCTAACATCAGCATCGGTGGCTCTGGGGCTGAGGCCGGCAATTTTTTTCAATGTTTTCTTCCTGCCCGCAAGTACCGGCAGACCCTGAGCTCCTCAGCATCTCTGTGCCAATGTTTCGATCAATCAGTGCTCTCTAACTTTTGGCGACTTCGCCTGTGTCTATCCCCGACCTGAAGCGGCAGGGACACTGCGAGGCGGAAAATGGGTCACATGGGGTGCTTGTCAACGGATGGCAACGGATTACCCGCTTCCTTCAAACTCCACGTTGAAACACCTGAAGCCATGGCGCTATGCCGTCCACTCCCGTGTTGCTAGGGCAGCCTTCAGAAGATTATAAAGCTCTCTGGAAATGGAGATACATAAGGGATTGACAAGTGGACGTTGAAACAACAGCAGTCTGAGCTTCAGCCCTGCGTCGACTGAGGTTGACTTGTCCCACTGCCCGCCGGTGCCTGGGCGCGTTCGGAAGGTGAAGATCGCCAGGGCCTCGCTCAGTTGATGAAGACTCAGCTGTTTTTGAACAACGGGCTCAGGGTTTTTGGAGTTGGGCAACATTCGCAAACAGTGCCGTGCATCGACACAGTCCTGTTGAAATCGTGCTTCTGCCACAGTGCCGTGCAGTGTTTGGGATGCTACCGCTACGTGTTTTCCTCCCCCCCCACCACCCCAAAAGCTCGCACATTTTGGGGCGATTCTCCCTGCCACTGTGGGTGCTTGGGCTGCTAGGTCTGCGAAGTGCTTTGTTAGGGCCTACGCTGGGAGAGTACGTGCATGCACCTTTGTCATTGCATGCCCACGCGAGGCCTTGCCAGGACAAAAGGCCGGCGGCTTACGTCAGAAGTCTGTCTCTCCCCCTCTCTCTGTCTCTCTCTGTCTCTCTCTGTCTCTCTCTGTCTCTCTCTGTCTCTCTCTGTCTCTCTCTGTCTCTCCGTGTCTCTCTGTGTCCCTTTGTGTCTCTCTTTGTCGATCTGTGTCTCTCGCAGACTTTCTCCCCTCTGTCTGTTGCACGTGGACCCATAATGTTTCAGTGTGTGCTCCTGCAACAGAAAAGGCGGATAAAGCTTTGATGCCGCTGGATCGGACGGCTTGTGGGGAGTAGCTCTGATGGTAAGGTGTAGTCTGCCAGCTGGTCTTGGCGAGGTCTTGGCGCCGAAGAACGTGACGTGGCTCGACTCTGCTACATCAGCAAACGCACACGCGAACATACATGCATGGTAGTGTCATTACTGTTATCATAATTGTTAGTATACTTAGTATTGTAAGTGTTCGTGTAACTAGCAATTACTAGTATTTCTCTTATTGTTGTTACTACGATCATTACCATCATTATTGTTGTTATTGTCCCTCGAGCGCAATGAGCTTCCGTGTGGAGTCTCCAGCCAAGGCTTGTGGTTTACCATCGTGCAGTCAGTCAGGCTGAGCTCTTTGTGCGCGCTGCCGTGGAGCTGCCGCCGTTTCGCAGACTGACGCCTTTGGAACCTTCTGATTGATCTTGACTGATCTGTGTGGGTTAAGAAGGCTAGAGCAGCGAGAAGGAGGGTAGGGAGACCTGTTTCTCAGTCAACTCCAGGTCGTTTGGGCGGCGGCGTTTTTGAAGTCAGCCTGACCTCAAGCCTGCCTTTCCTTGCAGGGGACTGTTTGGGCTGCCTTGATGGAAATCAGTCCCTGTACACATGTTGTGTGTGTCTGACTACCGCCTGCCTCCCCTCAACAGTAGTAGCAGAGGTTGGTCCCATGGGCGCGGGACTTTTGGCTTCGCGTTTGCCGAGGGCCAAGAGACCTACGAAGTGGCCATGCTGGCCTATCATACGAGGCTGGAAATGGTCTCCTCTTGGCAGCCTTGGCATTGGTACAAGACCTTTCCTAGACAGTACTTTGTGGAACTCGAGCTCGTCCATACTTTGGACCCTTTCGACTGCTGGAAGACAACTTGGAGATCGGCGCAGCGGTCGCTCGCATCTTTGCATCCAGCAGCACGTCGCCCGCTTCTGCCTTCTCGCATCTCTTGCTGCCACATACGCGCAGAGTTCCGCCCGAAGTGCTTCGGGGTAGTGCAGCAGACGAAGCAGTCTGCTTCGGAGCCTCAGCATTACGTTTGGTATCATCCAAATAACTGCTGTGGCTCACAGCCGCTTCTCGCTAGCGTACAGCGACACATACGCTGCAAGCTTCCGCGACAGAAGGCGTGGAGAGTCGCCATCGCGCAAGCCAGTATTGATTCTTCACGCTGCTGTCGACCTGGAACTCGAAAGCTTTTCGATTGTTCTTCTGGTCACTGGCTTCGCGCCCAGCTGTCGCGGTCCTCTCCCTGCCCAGCTGGCGCAGCACTTCTGCAAACATCTTGCAAGATCACCCGGGGAGCACTTCAGCGAACGGATCGCTCACAGTTTACTCTTCGAGACGTGGGACACCATGACAAGCACTGCAGCATCTACGGGCATGACGGTGCTGCATGCTGCTTGGTACAGGTCTGCAAGACAGACAGATCGGGACTCAGGTGTTTGGCCTGCCTGCTTGCAGAAGTGCCCTGGGGCTTTTGGTCGAGAAGCCAACGATTGCTTCTGGTCCGCTTGCTGCACCAACTTCGCACAGCAAGTGCAGCAAATCCTCGTCCTGCTTCGACGTTTACGAATTCGCTGCATTTGCACAACACCTTTCACGAAGTGCTGGACGCAGGCCGGGATGTGCCTGCCAAAGAACCGGCTGGTGTCAGTGCACCTCGGCTCCTGCCGATGCTAATGATTACTTCAGCTGTCCTGAGCCTTACAGCTCAGCACCGCCTGTATAGTGCCCTGCACGCGCTCCAAGTAGCCGCGCCCCTCCACATCCTTTCGCCTCAGGACCTTGCCAAAGTCTTGCAAGTGCTGGCAACTGCTCCGTTGCAGTTGGCCACGGAAATTCCAGGCGAGGGGCTCTACTCTGGCCGGCCAGAAGCACCGGCGGCTTCTGCGGCGTCCGTACCAGCGTGCGGCCTTGCTGTGGCGACTTTCGTTTCAATTTACCAGAAAAGCTCAGCCAATGAGCTGGCGCACTCGTGCTGTCCGGCACGGGGCTGGCCTTCTCTGGTGCGGGCCGCCAGTGAAGGCGGTCGCCTATCTCGTTGGCCAACTGCTGCATTTGCTTTGTGCCTCCTCTGTGAGTTGTCGAAGCAACTGGATGCCGGAAGGGTGATGGTCTTGGACAAGATGGTTGACCACTACCTGTCCTGCCCACAACGTGGCATCTGCACCTGGCATGAGAGGACGTGCGGCTACGAATTATGGACTCCGGTTCTACGTGGTATTCGCGCTTCGATGCAACATTCTCCCGCCAATCGGACTGCCTCCGAGCCTCTGCCCACTATGCGCAGGGAAGCCAAAAGCCATACCGAGACCATGCGCCATCTCATGACAGGAGGTTCGCTCATGCGGTTCAACGATGGTGAGCAGCTCCAGCTGAACTCCGAAGTAAATGGCCCTCTGGCAAGATATACGGATACGTTCATAAGGCTCAGCTTCTCCGTGCAAGCGCGCTGCCCGGGTCTCTGTGTTGGCATTATCCACCCTGACGACAACTTAACTCTCGCGGCTCTCGGCCAAACTCACTTGGACTGGTGGCAGACGGCAGGTTTGCCCAACACCCGAGCACTCTTCAGATCTGGCTTGCTGCCGGATCAAAGCTGCCTAGCCGCATGGACAGCGTGCTGACAGCTGCGTTCGCTTGTCGAAGCATGGGGCAGATGATGTGGCATGTTTGGGAGTGTCTCGGAGGCTATTGCTTCGGAATGGTGTCCCGCCCTGAGTTGCGCTCTGGAGGGTTCATGCTGGATTCGGAAAGATGCTCTGAGGAACTACAGGCCCAAAGCCGGCCCAGAGGCCATGACCCGCGCGCAGTTTCAAGCGCAATGGGAAGAGGTCTTTGCCAACAAAACCGCCACTTGCCATGCACAGAGCATTGATCCTGAAGCAATGACGCTCTCGCACATTCTCGCACGTTGCTGGACATGGCCGCGAGGTGCTCATTGTGGCTGCGCTGGACTATCTGTTCATCAAGCGATGTGGCGGTTGCAAGCAAATTTCGAGTTTGCTGCGAGGGCCTGAGACTCTTCGACGCTGCAGACTTCGGGTCGCTTAGGGTTGTGCCTGAGGCTGGGGCACGGAGCGAAGGTTCCACCTTACTCCAGATCTCGCGAGGCAGGGACCAAAATGCTATTCAAGAGGTTCCGGTCTTGGACCCTTTGGGGGCAGGTGCTCGCCTTGAACCCTGACCTGGTGGGTGTTGAGCCGCCTCTTGGGTCTGCTTGGTCCGGAGTGCTGAAGGTGCCTTGGTCTTGTAGATACGCAGCGTCCTGCAGAGTCCTCGTAGTCCAGCTCTGCGGATATCGAAGCAAGGCAACCCTAGCGGCGGTGGCACAGGCCCAGGCAGACGTGGTTGCCCAACCGCACTACAGTGGTTTGACGGCGAGGCCGAGGTAAATTGAAGTACTGTTTTCTGGTGTAGTGCAGACTTTCTGTAGTGCAGACTTTCCGAAGCCGTTTCGTTGACCTTTGTCTCTGTTTAGGTGGCTGTCAGCTGGGGCACCTCTGCTGACCTCCTGGTCGCAGAGCTGGCTTGCCGCGGCACGCAGGCGATCGACGTGGGAAACCTGGGCTCCATCCTGGAAGGCATCCGCAGCCGGGGGACTTCGGAAGATTCAGCGCCGAGTTGCAGCAGTAAGGGACGGAAAGAGTTAACAACGTCAGCAACCACATCCACATTCAGAGGTAGCAAGCGCAACTATTGCGGCGACCACTGCTGCTCCTCATCGTCGTTGTCCTCCTACTCCTTCACCTCCTCTTCACCTTTTTGGTTAGGGTCCTGCTCCTGCTGCTGTTGCCACACCAGGCATATCATTGTCGGCCGTGCTGGTGATTATTGTAGTGAAGATCACGTTGATGCTGATACTGAAGTTGACAGTGATGAGTGATGACGGCAAAGTTGACGATGATGATATATCTGCTTCAGGATGAAGTTTGACGGCAGGCGGTTCTACGGCACAGTCCGTCGACCCGGATGAGTTCGAGCATGTGAGCTGACAGTTGGCGGCGGAAAAAAGCGGGAAGAATTCGCAGGCTTCGAGGATTAGTGATAAAACGGCCTCCCAGTTCGAGTCGGCATTGTAACAATGGATTGTCTCATATTGTCTCTCAGGATACCAAGCCTGCATTTGTTTTGCTCAAGCTCAATTATTGAGAAACGGTGCCTCCGGGATTGCTGTCAAGATGACACAGTGGGGCAAGGCCAAGTTCTCGAAGAGCCCTTCAGTAGTGTGTTCGCTTTGTTCTTAGAGAGGTCATTGCCGTCAGCAACTTGCAAGCTGCCGGGACAACACCGCTGGAGATTCAGGCGAGGTCTATGCTGTGCAGCAGTACCAGGCAGTACCACCAGATCTCCAGCATCTCGGGGCAGGTGGATGACTTGCCGTCCTTGCCCGCGGAGCGGAACCTCGCAGAAGGTCGACTTCCGAGATCGACGCTGTCAACTGACTTGCGTTTCCTACAGCTGTGCGGCTAAGGCATCAAGATCCTTTACCAGACCTGCCAGCTGCAAGGTTCCCAGTCCCAGCGCATGGCTGGGATGTCCGAGTCTGCTCGTCCCGTTGCGCATCCTTGCGATTCATGACAACTTGGTCTTGCCGTTCTCCGGCAGAGTTCGTAAAGAGTCAAAGTGCCCGAGGTATGACCTGAACTTGGTCGTTGGGACAACTCGTCTGCCCGCTCACAAGGTGCCCCGACCATCGCACTGACTAGTGACTATAGTGGCTCCATAGATGTGCACGCCACCGGCCATGAAAACTTCCATGAACTTCATCTCGCATGTCTGCAGTCACAGCATTCTGCATTTGAAGGTGGTTCTGGCATCGATGAGTCGGGCCTGCTGTGAGCAGGTGCAAAAGGCCACCACCCCACTCCATCACCGACATAACCACCCTCGAAGAGCCCGCAATATAGGTCGGAAGTAGGAAGTTTTAAGGAGTGGCGGCAGAAAGGCGAGAACCTGGCCCAAACTCTCGTGCACTGTACGAGCAGGCAGTGAAAGACTTCCAGCAGCGCCCGATGCCTGGTAGGGTTCGGAAGGGGTGGGGGGGCAGTCTCTCACAGCCAAAAGGTCAGCCTCCATCGCCCTCAACTGCCAGCGATCTGGAGAAGGCTGAGAATGCTGAGAAGGCTCCGAGCATCATGAATCTCCGCACCCCAGTGCGAGCATCTTGCCTTGGGCAGCCACCGACTCCACCGACATCCGGTCCAGAGGAGACTGTCCAAGCCGACCTGGAAGTGGCCACCACATCGTCTCTGGCACAGGTGGTGGAATGGGTGTGGAATGGTGTGGGCACGGTGTGGGTGCCTGTTCTTAGTTGTGCTTCTGTGCAGGTGCCAGCAGCATCGCCTCCAATCTATAGCAATCAGTGGAAAGCGCCGAGCTCCACTGCCCCTGTGCCTCCCGTTGCCGTCGATGCGAAAGCGGAGCCTGCCGAGGGTTCCGTGGCATTGACCGCGTGGAGCTTTCAGGGTTTCTTTTACACCTTGTTTTCGTCGGAGCTTCATTTGTGGAGTCGGATGACGGGCCCCATGCTAAGACTGCAGTTTGTTGCTACTGCAACTGCTTGCGTTCCTACAGCCGTGTGTTCGTTCATCGAGTTGTGCTACCACTACACAATGGAAGAATGATCGCAATCAGAGGCAGCTATCAAGATCAAACCTGCCGCTAAACCTTTTGGCTGGAGGAGCAGGCGTCAGGTTGTTTTCAGCATCTGATGTCAGGCTCGGAACAAGCCTCAGAAATTTATACTTCAGAGGCTTGGTATCCTCGATCCCGAGGCAAGAACGTGCCTGAGGAGCCCCCGAAAATTCTGGAGGAGCCCACAGCCAGAGACTCCGAAGCACTTCCACTCGGTGTAGCATGTCTTGGTCTCGCTGCAAGCTGTTCAGGTGCCATCCCTGCCTGCTCCAACACGCCCTGAGATGCACCTGGACATCGCCAGCCCTGAGGCCAGAGGTGTGTGTGTAAGCACAGCGGCACAGCGGTGAGGGAGCTGAGCTTCTCATGTCTCCGGACAGGCAGCAAGAGCTCTCTTGGACTTGGTCTACGGCCTGGGTTCAGAATACAACATCAGCTCGGATGCTGTCGCGGCCTCAGCTCAACCAGCGCGACGTGGGCATCGTAATTTTGGGCCCTGAGGCCAACCAAGACGTGCTGCGCTTGGCGACGCAACTGGATGTCCCCTGCCTCCAGGCAACTCTGCCCTCAGCTACTGCCGCGAGCTGATTTGCCGATTCGCCTGAGAGGAATCAGCGACCCGATACTTGGGCCAGAACTTGACCTGCCAAAATGCTTGGATCCCAGATCTGCACCACCTTAAAGGCTAGTCTAGTTCGTGCAGTGTCCAGGCTGTCTCCAGGCTTCAGACGTGCAAAGAGTTTGGCCTTGAGGAGATGTGACCCACTGCAGTTACGTAGGTCCGTCTTGCGGGAGTCGCGGTGCGAAATATCGATACGGTACGTGGGCACAGTTGCAGCAGAATCAAGCAGGTATGGAGCTATCGAGGAGGAGGTCGTCTACAGCAGGGATGCTTTGCAGCGCATCGCAGCTGCTGAGGAGGTGGGCGTCCTTGCTTCTAGACTTCTCCAGGTGTCCTTGCATTTTGTCTGCTTCATGTAGGTCACCAAGTTTCCGGAGATCCTGCAGGGCTTGCTCGTGCGATCTGCCCAAGTGCACAATCCTGGCGGCCTCCCAAGCCTCCTTGAACCCACGAACGAAGTGACCGTGCCGGGTGCAATCGCTCTGAGTCCCCAACCTGCGGGAGGGCAAAGAGGCCAAACGCAAGCGGGTTGCCGAGTCTGGAGCTTAGTCGTGGAAGTTTCGCACTCAATGGAAGCCGATGTCTCTAAGAATCCGTGGGTGTGAATCTTAAGCATAGGCCCTCGTTCCTTCTCACTGCTAATTATGCACGGAGAGATGCCGTAGATGGCATAATCTGTCAGTCAGATGGTACTCCAAGCGCAGCTGCAGGCAATCTTCTTACTTGGGGAGCGGACGAAGTTTAGTTTGCGAGTCAGCACAGCCTTTTCCCCTTTTCGGAAAGTTACCCGGGTGTGCTGGTTGTTCGGGACAGCATGTGAATCTAGTGAACCTCTGAGGCCAAAGAGTGGCCGACCAGAAAAGTTGCCAAAGGCCGGATCTGCGAGCAGCGAAGGTTCAGCTCTGTCAGAGTCGGTGCTCAAGGCTTCATCGGGTCGTGCCGTTGCAGGAGGAGGTGCCTGAGAGTACATTAATTGCCAGACCCTGGCGTGGATAGTGCACGCAGCATGTGTTTTATGGTAGCTTGGGTTCGCTCCTGAGATAATTCGAGATTTGCTGCATTCTCTGTAGCAGGGGGCTAGCAGCAGACGTTGACATGAAGCGGAGAGCACCAGACTTGTACCCTGCAATCCCCTGCATGAATAGCTGGACGAGACGGACGAGACAGCAATGACCTAAACATACTCTACGAGGGCAGGTCATCTTGTCGCAGATCGCCCCAGCACTGCAACGATCAATTCGGTGTTCGCGGAGAAGAGAATCGCAGCTAAGCTGCGGGGCAAAGGGAAAAGCACTACAGAGATCTTTGCTCTTTTTGGCTCCGGCCATTGCTCCGTGAAGACGGCTCCTTCGTGCGACTTGCGAGCAGACGGGTTGCTGCAGCTGTGTTTCATGCCCTGGAACCTCGCTGCAAAGAGCAGCCTCTCCTAGATTTAGAGTCCCTTGGGGTCGAACAGTTAGAGCAGTCCGTGGGCTCGCCTGGGCTCTGCCTGGCTTCGTTGTTTCGGGATGCCCCAGCCTTAGTTTGCGTGTATGTGCACAGTTGCACCGCGACGTTTCTATGTGAGATCCAAGGTCGGAGATGTCAGACGATGCAGGTGCAGACAATGCCTTTCCTATGGGAGGCGCAGACCTTGTTCCGCGGACAGCCCTGCTGCGCTTTCTGTGGAAATCTGTACCGAGGCGATGATATGAGTGATGATGACATGGGTATGCAGCAGGAGCTGCCGGAAGGCAGGCTTGGCTTCCATGCCCTGGAACGGCATGGAGCAGTTATTTTTCAAAACGAGGCTTTGGGAGTGTGTCGTGGTGCAGGTGTTAAGAAAGAGATCGTGAAGGCAGCTCCGGAGTCGAACTACTTGATGCCGAAGGCTCGGCCTCGCTCTTGGCCCGGTGGCATCGAACTCGGTGGTCGCCTTGCACAGGCAGGCGATGAGGTGACAGTGCATTATGTTGGCACCTTGGAGCCAGACCCCGAGCTTTAGAGCTTCCCATGGCAATGGTGTCCATGTCTAAAGTTTCCACTGGTACTAAATCTGCCGTGGGGGACGAACAACGAGTCTTTGCTGTTACCGACCACTCCGGGGGTGTATGCACGAGATGCAGTCTACAGCCTACAGCGACTGAGCATCGTTTGTGTGCGCAGGACACGCTCACAGACTCACCGAGAGTCCAATCTGTTGATAGATGGCCGGGAAAAGTTGCCGACTTTTACCGGCGATTGCTCGTGTCATGGGCAGAGAGTCTTTAAAGGGTCGGCACAACGGCAACTGGCTCGTTCTATTCACCCCTGCTCTTTCTGCCTGCCAGGGCAGGGGTGCTATCCGCGAGCAACAGCCCAGCAACTGAGCATCGTCCGTATGCGCAGGGCACGATCACATGCTCACCCAGCGTCCAATCTGCTAATCTACGTGATGTGCCTGAGGTTCTTGAAACGTTTGATGTTGAATTCTGTTGCCGACTTTTACCGGCGATTGCTCGTGTCATGGGCAGAGAGTCTTTAAAGGGTCGGCACAACGGCAACTGGCTCGTTCTATTCACCCCTGCTCTTTCTGCCTGCCAGGGCAGGGGTGCTATCCGCGAGCAACAGCCCAGCGACTGAGCATCGTCCGTATGCGCAGGACACGATCACATGCTCACTCGGGGTCCAATCTGCTAGTCTACGTGATGTGTTTGAGATGCTTGAAATGTTTGATGTTGGATGGTTCTGCTGTACAGCAACGGAGCTCTTTCCGGACTTTTAGCGGCGATTACTCGCGTGACGAGCAGGGAGTCTTTAAAGAGTCGGCACAACGGGAACTGGTTCGTTCTATTCACCCCTTCTCTTTCTGCAGGGGTGCTATCCGCGGGCCACAAGACATTGCACAATCACTGACTTGCTTACCGCTCACCACTCAGGCCACCTCAAACACAAGACAGTGCACGCACGCGCGCGTGCGCAAACGAGAGGACACCGGCTGCAAAAGGAGCTCGCACACAAGTACTTCAGCCCCTCACCAAAAGTCTTGACCTGCTTTGCAACAGTGTGGGCGGATTGTGTCGAAACCAAGAGATCATTCCTGAGTGTTTCGAGTAAGGTGGTGGCTCGCTTGTAAGCAGGGCAGAGGGGCGGAAACTAAGGAAGACAATAGTAGAACCGACGAGGATTACATGGGCACCGCTGGATATGTAGGCATGGAGAGTGGCAACAGCAGCTACACAGATGACTACATCAGCATCTGCTTTGCAGGATGTTGCACTAGGTGTTGACATTACAGGAAGAATCAGTGACAGGCGTTGCATTTTGAACCAGGCACTGGTTGTGTGACCATGGTACAGGTAACATGCCCATGTACGAAAGCAGCCACACAACACAGAAAGCTGTCTTGCAGCATTGACTGTCTTGCTTCATGTGTGCGTTCGACTGTACAGCGCACGGTAAGGGTGCACGGCTGCCTTTCAGCAGGTCCTGAAAGATATAGTACCATGGTGACTGTATCAGAATGCCTTCTGATACAGGTCTGACGGATCCGAATTCGATTCTTCACGCTCCCGTAACAAACCGCCCAGTGCTGAGAAGATGACAGTGCTCGCTGTTGTTGCGCACAGTTGTGACATTCTTCCCGGGTTGTGTCTGCTTCGGAGGTTTACGTTCATCATCGGCAAGGGACAGGTGATAGAGGGATGGGATCTCGGCGTGGCAACGATGAAGAAGGGGGAGGCAGCGGGAAAACAGGGCCCTTTTCAGCTAGGCGGAATCAGCGACAGCAGCGCTTGAGAGGTGGCCAAGTTCACGATCGCCCCGGAGCACGCTTATGGTGAGCAACAGCCGACTTGGAAATGCTCATGGTATAAGCATGGTGCGCAGGTGACAGTGGTTCTCCACCCAAGATCCCAGCGAAGGCACACCTTGTGCTGCAGATTGACTTCGGTCTGCACAAGCTGCAAAGCCCTTGCCAGGCCACCCTCATCTTCGAAGTGGAGCTCTTGGATTTCGTAAACCAGGAGATCCGAGGACACAGCGCTGGGACTCTGTTGTACTCTGATTGCCACGAGGAAGATCTCTTCTCAGATGGTGGTGTCGTGAAAGTCATGGTCAAGGAGGGTTCCGGTTGGAAGGCGGGGCACCCTTGCTGTTCGGCATGGTCTTGGGCAACGCTTGCGATGGCAGCAGACTCTAGCGACACGTCGGCATCTGCAATGTACTAGCCCGGCTTTCCGGCAGGTGGTGTTCTTACCGTAAGATTCTTACCACTTCCACTTGGTTGGTTGCCCCGCACGCTACTCGCGGTCGCAGTAGTACCGTGAGCTCGCTCTTGCCTTTCCCTTGTAGAGTCCCCCAGGAAGCCGGGAGGATGTCGACTTGGGCTCACCTAGCCGAGTGCCGGTTCATAGTTGTCAGGCAGCAGAGACAGCGAGAAACACCAGCAGATGAAGTTCAGATGCCTGAAAACGGTGCTAGTGATCGGTCAAGTCGCTCGGTCACGCACTGAAGAGTTCAAGAGCACCGAGCTGTTCGATGCAAGAAAAAGAAGACAAAAGCCACGGGCGCCTCTTTATGGCGGCCACATCTTGGCCAAGACTGCTTCTTTGAGCTTGGTCTGTCGGGCCGCCCCGTGCCTGCATGACGGCAGGTGCCCCAGATCAACACCGAGCTGAAGATCTCCCTCAAGGCCGAGTTTTGGGCCAAGATGAGCGGTCGCCCATGTTTCTTTACTGAGGCCTGCAAGCCGGACGGGACTGTCATCGAGGACAAGGGATCTTTCGAGTGCCCCACGCGCGATTCCCACAGTCATGTCGCCTTCTGGACTGATCGCACAATGACGCATCAGGTACACGATGGGATCTGAAGGTCTGGGGCCACTGACCAAAGCTGTGGAGAAGGCTCTCCCCTAACTCGTGTCGCTGCTTATAGGAGATCGAGATTGAGATTGGCGATTGTTGGTTAGCTGAGGCATTATTTCGCATGAAGAAGGGCGAGCAGTGCAAGTTGCAGTGCTCGAAGGCCGCGGCCGGGCTCTGAGAGACCCCCGCCTTAAAGCGGCGATCCTTTCCTCAGGACTACGCCTTCGGAGACTCCCATCCAGATGGCTGCCCTTACGCGCCTTGCATCGCAGCGCCTTGCGACCTGCGAGCCCGGCGAGTGTCCTTCGGCCAGGCGCTGTCATCGACTTGGCGATTGAACCTTGGAGAAAATATCCCAGGCCTTTTCATGCATGGCTGTGCTTACCGAGCCAGTGACTAAGGAGGAGTTGTACGAAGTCACGGATGTTTCTGTGTCAAAAGACAAGTCGCTGATGAAGAAGCAGGTGCCTACTGCTGTCGATGTCCGGGCCAAAGGACTCCGCAGCTCGTTGTCAGGTCAAAGAGGGTGAGGGCTACGAAAGGCCAAAAGAGAGACGCAGCCTCGGCAGTGGAAGCAAGATGCCCCCAGTGCTTAGCTGGCTTAGCTTCATTCTTCAAGCTCCAGGTGCCAAAGTCTTCCTGAAAGTGGAGGTCCTTGGACTGCGCCTGTAACGGGTGAGAGCAGTGCTCGGTTCATGTCCGACAGGCTGCTACGGATGGCTCTGCGCCACTGCCCGGGTTTAGTGCAAAAACATTAGAGTGTGAGCCCCATTCGCCGAGCTGTGCGGCTGTGATTAGCACGTCTGGGTTTTTGAGGTTTGCTGCCGGTGATGGGGATGCTTGTGATGCCCTGGAGCTCGCCGTGTCGTGGCATAACCACAGTACACGTGCATGATGTCCAGCGGCCTTGTCACCGCAGTGCTGCTACCGAGGTAATGGACATGAAGAAAGGTGAAAGGGCAGTTCTGACCTGCAGCTCTCCCGGAATGTGCCAGGTGACTTGAGGGGCAAATATTTGAAACCTTTGCGCTTCGAGACGGGTTTGCATCGCCAGGACCCTCAGCTCGGCTTGGGGCAAATCACGGCGGACAAGGCGCCGGTACTTGAGTCATGTGGAGATGCCCAAAGAAGGCGTCTGTATGTCCTCTTGGCAAGTTCCAGTCGTCACGAGGTTTCACGTACCCGGACGATCCATGCAGCTGTATCTCCCCATGATGCTCCTCCCTATGCAATACAAGGATACTATGCAATGGCACCAAACCCATAGTCTGCGTCTAATTGTTTAGGTCTTGATAGTATGATGATGCAGCAATGTCTCGTGCTGTGTTGCTTCAAGGGCTCGTTTGCAAACTTCTTCGCTAATACCATGACAATTTAGGGGTTAGTGTTTAGCACGTAGGGTTTATGGTTTTTCATCACGCATGTTTAACGTGCGTGTTGTGTTGAGCCTTTGAGTGGGGGCCTATGATAAACACTTTCGCCCGAAGCGCCTTGGCCCAGAGGCTTCTCTGCCCTTTGACATTTCGCCCTCAGTCTGCCATAGTCCGCCATGGAAGCCTTGGCGGACGCTTTCTCTTGGCTGACTTCTTCATGCCCCTGCCTGAGACGTTAGCTGTCAAGCACAAAAGTAACCAGTGAGAGTGGCAGCTGCCGTGCCTCTGTTACCGCCCATAATGTTGACTGCAAGGGCTATGCGACATGAACCAGCCCGCAGGCCTCTCTTGCAGATGACAAGCCAGCTTTGGTTCGCACGTTGACGTTGATGCTCCATTTACCTGTGCTTGTATCAGGCTACGCTCGCGAGCCCGAGTTTGCCTGGCACCTGGTCGGAGTCGGCACAAGGCACTTGTAGGTAGGTTTCTCCATCCTTCCCCCAGTGGAGGTCATGAAGAGCATCCCAATGCCAACGGGGCCGCCCGACTTGCATCAAGTGCATAGACCTCGGGTGAGGCCTCTTGCAGTAACAGTCCCTTGATAAGGTAATTCTCGGGTCCCACAATATGTGCACTAGTCACTAATCTCTTGTGGTAATTAAGCGTTGCTGCAAGGGTGCATTGCCCAACATAGACATGACCAGTACTTGACATGTCTGCTTTGAATTGAAGGCATAAACCCCGACTCCATCCTGGTGCCAGCGTTCCTACATCCCAAACGCTCTGCCCTATGCCCTCAACCCCAAGGCCCTGTCAACCCTCGACCTGAAGCCTACAAACCCTCAACCGTAAGAACCCCGACTCCATCCCAGTGCCAGGGTGATGGCGCAGCTGTCTCCATACCTCTCGGCCCCTTCGTCGGCACAGCAAAAGGGGGGGGGGGGTTCGGGGTTCGGGGTTCGGGCGGAAGGTGTACCTGTAGGATTCAGGGCTTATGACTTACGGTTAGGATTTGGGGTTTAGGGTTTAAGATTAAGTATTCGTGGATTCCTCTCCTCATCCGAAGCCTGTGACATCGCCTTGCCAGAAGGAGCCCACCATATCATGCAAGCCCCACCTAAGCTGCTACAGCAGCTTGTTTTTTTTCAAACCCGTTCAATGGAGCCTCGACCCTCCAAACTAAACCCTCGACCCCTTAAGCCTTGACCCACGAACCCGAACCCCCCCCAACCTCCAAACTGACGGCCCTCAAGCACCAGCCTCCAGAGAAGTATGCGGATTTGGGGTTTAGCGTTTAGGGTCTGAGGTTTAAGGTTGCCAGGTTCCGAGTTGTCCGGAGTCCGCATTGGGTGTTGGGTTCACGGTTCCGGGTTTAGGATTTTAATCTGAGGTTCAGACTCCATGGGATGTTGAGGTAAGGTTTAGCGCCAGGGTTCACGGTTTCGGATTTAAACACTGGGCCCTGACGAGGTGCAAAACTTGGCCCCGCTTCGAGCCACCTGCCGTCAGCCGGCGAGTGCTGGCGAGGAGGCCTACGTGCTACAGCCCATGGTTCAGATTCGGGTTAGAGTTTAGGGTTTAGGGTTTAGGAGAGTGTTTCTTAAACCCTGGAACCTACGGGCAGGGTTTGTTGCTTGGGTTTGGTGGCGTAGGTTCTGCTCACAGTGTGGCAACAGGATGCTCATGGCGTTTTTGGGCATAGAGTGAGGAGAAGTCTTTGTGGTGGGAGGGGCGAGGGCTTTGCCAGTCTCCAGAGGAGAGCCGGATTCATTGTAACCTACATATATATATATATACAGTACATGGACCTTTGGCCCCGGAAGCCTTTGATCGCAGCAGTACTTGACACAAAGGATTTTGGGGATCATCTTGAGTTCTGCAAGTGTTGCGGTCGAGGCATCCTGGCCGCTCCCCCGAACCCTCCTGAAACCCGCGAGTACTTTGAGGAACGGGAGTCCTTGTGAGGGCTCATAGGAAGGATTTATCTTCGGAGGGCCCGAATACTCTTAGACCTTGAATCAGAAGCCTCTCTGCTCGGCACGGCTTTGCGTCCCCTGAACCCTAAACCTTAAACACGAACTCGGGAGGCCTTCCAGCAGCTGCTGAAGCTGCCCATGAAGAGGCCGTGTCTTCCGAAACTTTGGACCTTATAATGAACCCTAAACCACCCCAAAGCCCTAAACTTCCAAGAACCTCTTGAACCCGAAGCCCTTGAAGAGCCTCCACAGACCCCAAGGTTCCAGGCCCAAATCCCTTCACGCGAAAGGCCCCTGGCCTAACCCCCCCAAGATGCCTGGAGGCGCCAGCAGATCCAAAGGGTGGACAGGATGAGATCGGCAGAGAAGTGGGCAGAGATCACAGAAGGCAAGGACGACTACATTTGGGATTCGATTAGCAAGCGGCGCTTCCTCGAAGACCTCTCGGGAGAATGGGTCCTGTATACCCAGACAGGGTCTATGTTTGACGGCCTCAAGGAGTATCTGCTCCTAACGAAAGTCTTTCCTGCGGAGCTGCCCTCGAAAACCGAGGACATCTTCTTTAGGCGCCAGTCTCGCAAGTCTTCCACGTGACCAGTGGGCGGCTTTTGAATCCACCTGGCCTGGCACAAAATCAGAGAATCCCATCGAAGTCCTCGAGGCCACATGGCTCGAGGCCCCAAAGGAACACCATGCAAGAATTGAAAGCTTTGAAGCATGGGAGATGACGCCGCAACAGCACACGCGGCGATAAGAAGTGACTGAATTTCGCGAGGGCCTCATGCACCGTGTGAAAGGGGGCGTGAAGTAGCAGCTACTGTAGATTCTTGTATGTTGTAAGTGCTCAGCTCGGTGCAGCCCACTTGCAGACCCCAGTGGCTTGGGCAATGACCCGGCAAACACATCGACGGACACCGAATCGCTTTACCGACCCTCTTCGCAGAGCGAAACAAGCTGGACGAGCAGCGCCTCGCGGCCTTTCACGGAAGCCACGTCGAAGACAGCTAGGCCACGCAAGCCACATCGAAGCATACAGAGGTGATCTTCACTTTGGAGCTGACCAGCTTCGATAAAGCAAAAGACATCTGGGACATGTCAGAGGATGAGAAGGCCCGCCGCGACTGGCCTTCCTGCATTGAGACGCCTGCCGAGTGCGCAAGCGCCCAGGTTGAGTTCGCCTCAGCTCGCAAGGAGGCCTGTAGCTGAAGCTCTTTGGGTATGCGTATATGTGCAGTATATGTACAGTAGGTCAAGATTCGGAGTTCGCAGGTTTGCATACGTGCACATGCAATTGCACAGCACATACATGCCCGCAGGTTTCACATGCACAGGTGGCCAGGACCTGAATACATACACATACACATGCATATATATATATATGTACATACATACACATGCATATATATATATACACACACACGCACCCGAAAGCTCGTGCAAGAATACGGAAGTAGATATGTCGAGATGCCCAAGTGACGCTAGCTCTTTGCAGGCCCATGCAGGCCCCGCGGCCTGGTACCTCAGCCCTGGAGCCAGGTCGGTGGGAAACTCTTCAAGGCAGGCCGCTTTGTACTGGCCATGGAGCGGTACAAGAAGGCGGTAAACTCAGGAGGTTTCACAAGCTTCGTTGATCACAGATGGCACAAGCTCAGGTTGTCGACATGTTCAGCTACACCGACAACTACCAAGCACCCTGGCGCATCATGACTTCCGATGTTGCGGCGGCGTGAAACAACCTGCTCTTCGCCCCGTAGCCCATCAGATGAGAGACTTACCCTAAGTCATCCTAAGTCGCCCCTCCTGGAGGCAGAAAACAAGGCGAAAGCAGCCGATATGAAGAAGGCAGGGCAATGGAGCTAGCGAGATCATCGAGCCTGGGGACTAGTGCAGATGTTACTACAGATCCCGCCAGGCCTGCACCCTGAACAAGGCCGCGTGCCAGCTGAAGTGTGAGCTCTTTGCGGATGCGAAGACCTCTTGCAACACGGTCTTAAAGGACAGGGGCCGCTAAGCCACTGCCACAGCCGACACCGCTATCATTGTATCCTCTCTGTGTAACTCTCTGTAACTCTCCGCTGTGTTCGATCGTAGCCAGGACGACTCGACAAACTTGAAGGCACTCTTCAGACGAGCTCAGGCCATGCCGTCATTGGGCAGACCGAACTGACACAGGGCCAGGTGGCACAGCTCTGCTTGAGCCTTTACGTGTAAGGATAGGCAGGATACGACGTGACATGCCTGCGCTGCTCCTCTAAGCCGCTTCTCGATTGGCTGCGGGCTGCTTCATGTTGCGCCTGGTAGGCAGAGCTTGGCCTCAAGAACTTCGCGGACTGCACTCGAGATGTCCGGCCTACGGTAGATGCTTCTAGTTGATGAAAGCAGCCTGTGGGGTTTCGCACGCAACTGAGGTGAAGCGCATCTTGGAGATTGACCCGAAGAACAGAGAGGCAAGAGTCTTGGCAAAGGAGGCAGCATCCGGGCAGAAAGAGGAGGACCCACGACGGACCTCTCATAGTTTTGCCGGGCCGTGAGCAGAGCCTCTTTCTTTTTGCAGGATAAGAAGTCCAAAGGCCTCTTCAACAAGATGTCTTCCTGACACGTTTCTCGAAGGGCCAGCAAATCCATCGCTCTTCCATGTCGATTGTGTGGCCTCCAGCTGGGCTCAAGCACACTGTGCAAGAAATGGCCCCACGCCCAGCCAGCCACATGCGATTTGCGGGCCAGGCTTATGACAAAGGTGAGCAGATCTGGGTCAACATTGGCTGGAACTCCATGGGGAATCAGCGTATTCCGGCAGACGTCCCACCATTGCTGGTGGACTTAGTGGAAGATGTTCGGTGGAAGGCTTTCGTGTCAGACCTGCAGCTTTCCTTAGCCGAGAAGACCATTTCTGTACCTGGATGCCTGCAATGCCCTTGTGGATTCTGCATAATGTGTCCGTATGCTTGTGCAAAGAAGGCAGCGTTTGATGCCGCCATGACGCAAGCCACGGAGAGGCACAAAACCAGCTTGCCCGGCCTCGTCGGATGGAAGCTGGTGCGAAGGGCACGCAAGGAGGACCCAAGCGCTTCAATGGGTTACAACCTGATCTTTGCCAAGGGCCCGGCCAGACCGGTTCGGCCGATTCCGGTGGTGACTGCTTGTGTCGTGGGCGAGAGCGCGCTGAGCGCGCCGACGCAAGATCAGATGGGAACCGGAACCATCACCGAGCAAATCGAGGAAGTGAAGAGTTTGTTTGACAGAGGTCTGATTACCCACGAGGAATTTACAAACACAAAGGCTTTGATTCTCGGTCTGCGCCTGCAGTTGTGAAATTAGCCGCTAATTAGCCGCACGGAATCAATTTACGCCCTGTGTGATGGGATCAGCGTGATCACCACTCCGGAGGCAGACAACAACGACGACGACGACGACTAGCTGACAAGCTGCCACAGCTCCGAAGAAGTAGTGTGGAAGCATGCTGGTGTAGCTCGTGCTCTGATCTGAGCAGAAGCCAAAGACTCATGCTTGCACTTGTCTCACGGCGAAATGTTAAGCTAATGCTACGAGATCTCTGAGAAAAGGTAACAGGAAGCAGAAGCCGCACGAGTTGTTGGCCTCCAAAGTCATGCACGCTACAGTAGACTGTGCAGATGACCCGTCGGCAGGTGCTCAGCTCTCGGCAAGGGGCCGATACGCGAACCCTACAAGGCTTACTGTAGCGGGTTCCTGTGCTGCGCACTCTGCGAAGCCTTGGCTCGGAACAGCTGATGCGATCAATACTCCCTACCCCTGTGATTCTGCAGGAGCGTCGATTCGATTTCGATGCCGACGAGGCTGGCAGGGGTGTGGCATTGAGAGCTTCTGCGTTGCCAGTGTCACTGACGCTTTCCTGCAGGACGAGGATATGCAAGAAGAGGGAGAAGGAGAGGCAAAGGCCGCGGCTTTGGTCGACAGATTCTTACACCCTTGACTCAGCCACCTCTGTCCCTGCAGGAAGCTTGATGCCATGGCCTTGCATGTACAGTCTCTGAAAGGCTCGGCCATGCACAATGTTTTGGCCTCCGTTCCGTTTGGAATGCATGCCTCTCATAGATTGTGTAGCCGTCAAAGCTTTTTGCCAGAACCGTCCGTTCCAGACAATATGGTTAGCTTCCAACTTGAGATACATTGCGGTCAAAAGGCTCTGGCAAGTTGGAGCCTCGAATGTCTAGGCATGCACCGTTCGCAAACAGCAACACCTAGAATTAAGCTGCAGTAAAAGCAGCAGTTGACGGACATCGGCAGTTGATGAACATGAACCCAGCCTGTTTGCGGCGCATGCAGCTAGCAGTCTGTAAAATGCCCCACAGACAGGGAGCAGATTTTGTTGTGATCCAGCGCATGTGCAGCTCCTCTTGCCTTCTGACCGGCTTTTTTGCGTCGGCCTCTGCAGACCCTGCTAGGCCCCAGAAGTGTGCCCAGCCAGGATGGTGAGAGCGCAAGCTGAATCCGAAAGACTTCGACCTCTTCAGCACTCAGCCCTTTCAGGGCGCAAAAAGCTTGTGGGTTGAGACATCATAGAGGCAAATGTAGTGAACAGTGAAATCTTCTTCATGCTGGCTGCCGGGCGTCAACTTGAAACTTTCAGCACTTGATTTTGGAGTCGAAGCCCTTCTTTGCTCAAGCGGATTCCCAGCAGATCTTGGGCATCAGAGTCAAGGCGCACCAGGATTACAGTGATGTCGCCGAGGGGTTGGACCCGACACCCTTGAGAAGGATGTCGCGCATCGGCTCATGCAACTTCCGTGAGAAGGAGAAGAGCTTCAACACTCAGGCCAAAGGGAACCTCAAGGAACAACAGGGGCATTTCACTGTCAGCCCCGTTGTTTGAGAGAGGAAGAGACCTGGCGGCAGACCTGCGACAAGGAGCGGTTCATCGAGGCGCTTTCATGTTCTCCCATTGCACCTGCGACACACTTTTGTTCTGGATGTGTTTTCTTCGGGCAGGTGCTGGCACACCCGCCTCAGACAACTTTCCATGACGTGGCACATTCGCAGCCTGGCAGCAAGGACTCTACTGTATTGGGAGGCTTTGTTCCTGTGGGCTTTGCCGACTGTCTTGTGTAAACGACGTCCGAGATGCTGTTTCAGAGAAGATGAGAGAATCAACGGCGTCGCCAGTTGGTGTGGCTTTGATGTATCCGCTTGCATCCGGCTCGATAGGGGACACTGCCAAGAGCAAAGTCCCATAAGACCTTCCTCCCAGTGCACAGGACACAGTTTCTCAAAGAGCGCAGGACTGATGTATTTATATATAGGATCAGACTTTCAGATTTTTCATGCGAGCCTTTGCCTGCCATGGCCGTGGTAGACCCGGGGCCTGAGCCTGAGCGACTCGGGTGGTTCTGCTGCAATCGCCGGGCACCCAAAGCGCCCGCAAGAGCGCAAGCTCGAGGCTTCCGCTTCGTCCTAATCTTTCCGGTCTTTCATTGGTGTTTGTGTCCCATCTTGTGGGAAGATGCTGCGTAAACAGAGGAAATCAGCCTGGGAATGCTTTGCAGGTGAAGAGAAGCCGCAGATCAACGTGCTCCCACCGCAGGCGCCGCAGCCAGAGGAAGTCTGCGCTGAAGAGCCTCTGCCTGGCAAAGAGGAGGATCCCGCTGGTGCGGAGGAGGAAGCTTCTCAGGATGAATAATTTTAACTAAGGCGAGATTTGTTTTCTTCGGCGGCATTTTGGAACACTAAAAAAAGACTTCCAAAGATAGCACGAGCCCGACCCGGTTTCTTTGCAGTTAAAGCTCCGAGTTCCGAAGTCTCCGAAGGAGTAGGCCCCCAAAGTTGCCCTAAAGCCCCTTTGAGAAATCGAGGAGGTGGCTGAGCCATCACCCGTCAACAGAGCAGAACGTCCAGATGCCGAGACTGGAAGCAGTGGCTACTTCTCCAATTCGAATAGTTCCCACAGCGATAGTGATGCCAGCGACCCCTGCTTCTGGAAACCAAGAAGAGTTCAAAGTGACAGCAGCGCGGCATCGGCCACGAGCTCGGAGTATTTGCAGGCCGAAGCTCAGAGGCGAGAAGTGGAAAGGCTGATGGCTCAAGTTCCCCTCACTGATGCTGGCAAGCCGACATCCGTGGGGAGCATCAACCATCCAAACGGCTGCTGTCCATGTATGTTCTTCGCCAGACCGTCTGGATGCATACGTGGGGTGCAATGTGAGTTTTGCCACTTCCCACATCAAGTCAATGTAAAAAAGCATTTGTCTGCACAGAGGAGTGCAGGAAATCGTGCATCAGCACGCAGCCAGGCCCTACTCGTAGGATAAGAGTCGGCTTGGTTGCAATCTTCTCAGGTCCCAGCAAACATCTTCTTCAGGTAATCTGATAGGCTAGCCCACACTAGCACGTTTCACACCGTCCTGTGGAACGGATTGCAGCTTCAGCGTGCCTGCCTGGCGCTGAAAGACCGTGAAATCTGCAGAGCTGTCATGCTGCATTGCGGGTACGAGTAGTCTGCTTGTCTTGTCTCTCCCGGGTCTTGTTGCCTGATTAGTACAGGCATCCGGCATGATTTGGCCACGACCCTCTCATGCCCCGGCTCGAGGATCTGGATCGATCCAGCTAGCAAAACCTCTCTTCTTCTGCTCAAGTTGCGCGGCATTGGAAAGAGGCCAGGTGGAGAAATGTGCTATAAAACTGATGTTGGGTGGTCCTGCGGAGGCTATACAGTCAGCAGATGGAGTTAGAACTTGCATCATGACCGTAAGCTTCCACATGTCATCTGCGTCTCAACGAGGTTAGCAATGTAGGGCACCTTGTTTCTACTGCCTCCCGGCAGGTTCTACCATGCATGTGATTGATGAATGAAGCAACGCTCAATTTATGTCAGAATCCGTGCATCGTGCCGAGCGCAGTTCATTCTGAAAGCACAAGGCTTTCTGCGAGCAAAGCGCTCAAGCTTGTGGGATTGTAAGATTGCCTGGTTGTCTGCCAGCTACGGCAGCGTTGATGGCTTCTTTGTTGCCAGGGCAAAGGCACCCGAGGCCAGTCCAGTCCCCAAGTTCTGCAACACCGGAAGAAGCACAAAGAGAGGTGCTGTCGAGCTTCCCGTAGCAGAAGGACTCGATTGCCATGGTTTCAGCTGCATGCTTGACGAAAAGCTGCAGCATCGTACTGCATCATGCCGGACCTGCCATATTGTTGAGCGGATCCCTTCAAATGCCGGCAAAAACAGTTCCGTTTCCAAGGTCGGGGCCGACTCGCAGCACGGCACACACGACGCACATTGGACAGAATGCGCAGGAAAGCGGCGCCGTCGTTTGTTTAGCTCCAGAGCCCTCAGAGTTGGAGGATTGAAGGGTTTCAGGATTTAGGTTCAGGTAGGATGGGTCCTCGGCTTGATCTTCTGAACCAGTGTGTGGCTGCTTCTCCTCTCCCGATGTGGGGTAGCAAGAATCTTTGTAGCGACATGCAGCCGGCAGCGGAATCTCGGAGGCCGCAGCAGCTGAGAGGCCAGCCGGGAAGCCATCGGCCATAGGCGCAGGGGGAGCTGGGTGCGTGCTCGACCAAGAAGCGCAAAACAGCGCAAACAAACACAACTAGCATGTGACATACAACCGGGAAATCCAAACAAGTCTCCCCTCAGTGGGTTGTAGGTTACCACTCGGCTGTTGCAGGCCTTCACTGGGGAATCCAATGAGCTTCAGGCATGCACGCATAGCGTTCGAACTGAGAATGCTCGAAGTCTCACCTTGCAAAAATATTTATTTAGTGTAGGTCTCACCTAATCTTTGCAGCATGCGCTTCCATCACAGAGAGATATCCCAGGTCAGTCTCCAGACTTGATCGAACATGTTGCTGAAGTGTCCCTGGCCGATCTTCAAGCGAGCCAGAGGGCAACCATGGAAGACGCACCCACTGGGAAAATGAGATGGCTGTCTGTAGCGTGCGACAGCAAGATTTACACGAAGCCCTCCTGTGCTGCCTCTGTGGATGTAAGTGTGCATCGCTGGCGGGCTTGAAGCTGACATGTCGTGGTCGAATTTGACAATTGTGGGATCGTAGGTCTCGTCGCAGTCGGGGTTCATCTACGATCAACGATTTTGCATACTGATGGAACTTGTGATAGAACAGACGACAGTTTGCTGTAACAGAGACAGCCACCCTGATGATTCACGCCTGCGCCTTACCGGGGGTTTCTCACGATGGTCTTGTGAGCCCTCAGCAGCAAAGGTGTTCAATGGGTGCAAAGAGGTCTGCTCTCTGCCGGCCAAGGCAAATACCGAAGCAAGAAACTGAAGCAGCAATGCATAAGTAACTACATGTGTGTGTTCTATATGTATGCCTTGCAAAACACTTTCGGGGAGCGGTCGCCGGTAGGCCTGCACAGCGTGCGGGGACCTTTGCGACTGCGAGGCTTGTGAGGACTTGCGGGGCACGCGGGCTTTGCCTCCAGGGATGTGGTCTCTCAATTTCTCTCTCTCTCTCTCTCTCTCTCTCCCTCTCTCTCGCTCTCTCTCTCTCTCTCTGTCTCGCTCTTGCTCTCGCTCTCTCGCTCTCTCTCCCTCCGCCTCCGCCCGCTCACATCCAGCAGCAGCACAGCAGTGAATGTGATGGCAGGACTGTTGCTCCGAGATCTGTGGAAGCTGCACGGCATGCGTGCACCGCCCACTTGGAACCTATGTGGTTTGTGTCGAGACCTTGGAACTAGGCATGCTCACACATGAACTCAAGTTACTCGAGTGCCAACTCGGGGCCCACTTGCTGCGACCAGCGGGATAACACGTCGTTGTTCTCAATGCTGCGGCACTTTGGTTGAAAAGCAAGTGCTGCTGGGAGACCACTCTGGTGTCAATTGACAGCTCCGCCTATCAATCGTAATTTGTCGATCTGGCAGATTCTGCAGCCTGTGGATCCACTCTCCATCTTGCCTTGCTGTGCGCTCGTCGCCACCGGTTCGGCATGCCTTCTCTACGAGCCTTGAGGACAGTAAAAAGGCTTATTGGACATCTTGCGTGCCGTTGACCTCTTGAATGGCTGTGGCTTCTGCGGGCTCTCGCGCTCCAGGGGCTCCATCTCCAAGGAAGTCTGGGGCACCGCAGCTTTTGGCGGCTTAGGCCATCCTCCTGAGCCTCGCAGAGATCGGCTGCTGCCTGACTGCCCTGCTCGAGGTCCCAGCGGGATCCAGCGGGCGTTGCAAAATCGGCGGCTGCCTGACTGACAGGATGACCTCGGCAACTGCACTTTTCCGGACGGTATGGCCAAGAGTGCGCGGCCCTTGGGATGAGCCCTGGGGCTCCGGAGCACTTCGAGGGCCTATCGGTCAGGTTGGGGTCGGCTCCTGGCTGCGCGTTCAGATGGGTGGGGGCCTGAGCCTTTGAAGCAGCGGAAGCAGAAGGTCGCTCTCGCCCTTACTTGTAGCTACCTGTCCCATCTAAGGGCGTGGGCTAAAGCTTCGCTCCTGCACTTTCCGGGCCTGCAATTCGTAGAAGTTTGGGTCGCGTAAGGCTGCGCTTGGCTCAACCTCATCTTTGCACCCTACATCCAGTATCAGCTGATGCAGACGCCTTGCGCCTACGGCTGCCTGCATCACAAGCAAGAAGGCTCATGGAACATCATGGAGCCAAGGCTTCAAGCGAAAGCAGGGGTCGGAGAGATGGACCAGCGTGCCATCAAGGCGGACCTCGGGTCCTTGGCTGGAGCCGCCTCGGAGACAAAGCAGTCGCTTTACTTTTTCTTGCAGGAAAGCTTCCAAGAGGTGTTTCTTCACGACATCGGCGTGTGCCTCTATGTGACTTGACCGAAATAAGGACAGCTGTGGGAACCGACAGTGGCAAGCAATTTGCCAACAACCTGAGGTCTTCGCATGGATAGGTTCTCTCGTTTGGAGCATCTTTGGCAAGCGCCCAAGAGCGAATGTTTGGTGGTAGCGCGGCGTGGCGGGTCATGCTGTCAGTGGGTCGCTCAAGGGCTTACATGACATGGCTTACATGACAGATGACGAAGCGTCTCGGTAGCTATGTACAGTGTGCAGTAACCCTTGCTCAATGGGGCCACCGGTTCCAAAGCACGACTTCTCTTCAACGTTTTAACAAGCTGTTTCTCGCCCTAAAAAGTAAGATGTTTTGCTTGTTGCCCTCGCACTGTCGTGCCGTAGACAGCATGGCCTTCATTTCCCGCGCACGCCTTCCCACTCAGTGTGTTAAGGTGGGCAGGCGGGCAGGCAGGCGGCAGGCAGAGAGGCAAAAGCAATTGCGAATATTTGCGACTGAGCGTGGAGAGCGGGGAAGCAATTCGAAGCATGACCTTGCGCATCTCTCATTTGCAAGATTCGGTGGAAAGTCAAGACAGCTTCAGCGAGAAGGCTTGCTTGTATTCTTGAGTCATGCACTTCTTCTCATAACCGGGATCGCGCATCATGTCGCGATCCAGATACTTTGAACGGATGGTGTGTCGGAGACGCACATTGACCGTGCGTTGATGCCGTGGTGCTTCCAGGCTTTTCGTGGCTGCGACAAGCTCCAGCTGCTTGCGATCCTCAAGGTCCCGGAGACTATGTTTGGGTGGGACTGTATTCGTTGCCGTGATATTTTTCTCGCCGCGACGATTAGCACGATGATGGAAGTAGCGACACTGGAAGCTTTGGAGCAGAACTGGCAAAAGTCGGAGTGGTACTCATTTTATAGCATCATTTACATTCATCACGTGTACAATTTGCTCGCCTAAGTCTTGCTTGCGCAGGATGGGTGTCCGTGGCTGCGTTGCTTGGAATCGCCTTTTTCTGGCCGCTCTGGCCGGTTTTGCCCTCGCAGACCGGCTTTGGACAGAAGGCATCAGGTCTGCGTGGTGAGTCCGATGCACGCGAGAAGGTGTCTCCTTTGCTATGGCTTCGTTTGGTACTGCTATATCAGCTGCACCAGCCACAGACCCGTCACGGCCTTAGGCAGGCTCGAAGCTCGAATTCCTCTGGCGGGACAACACAAGGTGAATTGGGCCATGAAGCTGATCCCCACGGTGACGGGCAAGGTGCGGAAGCCACCTTGGCCTCAGGGCCCTCGCAGGGAGGGGGGAGGCTCTCGGCCGGCGATCCTCGGCCTGGCAGGCGCACGCACATGCGGCTCACGCCGCGGCCGCCAGCAGAGCGCCAGGACATCTACCACCGGCGATCGATTCCGACGGACTTCAACTAGTTTTTCTTTTGCAGCTTTTCTTCAGGAGTGGTGCCAGGCCCCGCCAGCCCCTTGGGTCTTTCTTGCGCCGCCCCTGGCCCTCTGCATGCAGATGCCTTCGCCCCAGGCCTCCGTGCCGCCTTCGGGCTGCGGCAAGGCCACCGATGCTCAGAAAACGCCCCCTTTTCCTTCGTCTTCTGCAGAGTCCAGACCAATCGTAGTGCATAGGTTTTTTAAAAAACCAGATCCCAGCCCACCTCACCCTGATCTGGTTGAATTGCATACCCAGTTGGTAGCAAAATCTCTACGGAACGTGCTCTTCTGAACTCTATGAGACAACATCACGCGTACCGGTGATCGAAACACACTGCACACAACATGCCAATGTCTCTTTAGAGCAACATTGACAGCTCGGATATTCAACGAACTACTGTACTCGAGTTTAAAGAAGAATTTGCGATCGCGTTTTGAACCAGATCGCAACCTATTCTTTAATTTCTGCACTGTGCTGTTTGCAAGAATCTCCGCTTCATGTCGATTGTGACCTCGATTTCTGAGCTTGTCGAGGAAGAACCCAAGATGTTTGGCAAAAGCCATGGGATTCCGAAGACATGTTTTGAAAAGACGCTGCGTTTCACCAATCACGAGCGCTTTGAACACACTGACAGGATGACATGATGTGCGAGGCAAGTACAGATAGGCATTCTGTGCTTTCCTGTGCGTTTGAAAAACACACCTTCCAGCATCAATTGAAACGTCAAGATCAAGGAAGCTAACACGGCGTCCATGTCCAGATTTCTCCCAAACAATGCTTGGATGCCATGTTTGTAGCTTGGAAAAGACCATGTTGACTTCCTGCCAAGGTAACATCGAAAAAGCATCATCCACGAACCGATTCCAAATCTTCACCTGATTGTTTTTAAAAAACCTATGCGCTACGATTGGTCTGGAGTGTTGCGTTTTGATGCTACTTACTGTAGCTTGATGCGCGATATCTTCTAAGCCTTTTAGTCTCGAGGCACAGCCTGAGGAGCCCCAAGTGGGCGAATCGCGTAGCGTGTAGTGCCGAGCGACGACAAAAGGTATCATCGCCGCGGCTTGAGTGTGTAAGTTATCTGAGTGTTTTCCTTCGTCTTCTGCAGAGTCCGGAAGAGGCCTGCACTGTGACCCAACTCGCCAAGCTGGTGGCATGCCTTGGCTGAATGCTTAGTGAATGTGGAAGATCGGCATGGGAGTCACAGCCCACTCTGTCAAAATTAGGCTTAGACTTGTTCGGCGATGCCACGTACTTCTTCCCAGTGATTGGCGAGGTGCTCCTTTCGCGCTCAGAGTCTCCAGTCTCCGGGCACTCCAGTCGAGTCCTCTGCCAGGGCGTGGACCTGGCCTATGCTCCCATCCAGGTCTGTGGCCTTCTCCCTCATGTTTTCTTCATACAAGTAGCTCGCTGTTCCGAGGGAATCGCGCTGATGATGCTGTTTGGTTCAAGAAGCATCTCGCCTCAGCAGAATGTGGCAGCTTGCACGACCATGATGCGGCTTGGGCCTTGAAGAGTCTCGGAACCCGCAGACGTTGAGGCATCGCCACCGTGGGATTCTTAGAGGACGGAAGGGCTTTGTCATGGACGCAACTTAGTACTCTGCCGCGTCGGCTCTTTGTTTTGTCTTCGGCAGCCAAAAGCAGGAGCTCTTGCCCTTCACCGACCTGATTCCCTCTGCCACGCTGGGCTGGTTGAGACCTCATGTCGTTTGGCTGGGGATCGTGACAGGGCGATCCGACCTTCACATTTGACACGGTGCTCCTCTCGAGTCCGAGGACCATTGAGACTTTCTTTGCAGAAAGTTGCCTGGGCCGGTCGCTGGGGCTCTCCCAGCATCAAGACGGCGGTAGCTCCTCGTCCGATGAGTAGCTTTGGTTGCGGCTGCGTTGCCGTTAGGCACCAGCTTTGTTAGGACGCCCTTCGTAGCATCTGCTGGTTGGAACAAGTTCCTGTTGCCAATGTCACGATATCTGTGCCCGTGCACGACAAGATGATGCACCCTGTGGCTCATTTTCTCTCGGCATGCTCGCTAATGCTGTTGATACACGTGTTTGTGTTTGCCAGAGCTTCCACCAGTAACTAGTGGTCACTCATCTCAAGACGTGGCTCGTTCAGACATACAAGGGCGACAAGTCATCGTCGTCATTGTCATCATCGCCTCGGCAGATCAAAAATATCGCAAGACGTCACATCTTCATAGTGACCAAACGACCATCGCCTCGGCTAGAGCGGGAATGTCACCCGAAATACATGTTTTGACGCTGCCCATGGCCTTCAAAGTGTGAGCAGCTGGCGTCCAGATGTCTTTCTTGCAGGTCGGGACTTGGATGCCGTGAAGTTTTTTGGTTCAAGCATAGCCGAAGCACATGGTTCAAAGTCAGCCATGACATCAGAGCAGGCCTCATAAGCACAGGAAAGGAAAGCTGCTTGCTGTTGAGATTTTCGTCACCCACCCCCCTCCCCGCCCGGTTTGCGAAGCCATGGATGTCAAAGAGACGAACAGACCTCAGCTTAACCGCACCGTGTCGAGTCTACACTCTACACCATTCTACACCATCCTGCGCAAGTTTTGAGATAAGTGCACAGGGACCCGATTCGATGCAAGTCACCTGTGCCAGGATGCCGCCCCTTCCAGAAGAGGACTGGCTTTTGGCGGTCACTGGGCACGTGTTTTGTGATCGATCTGTCGTGGCAGTAAGGACTCCACGACGAGCAGTCAGGCCTCAAAACGAGGCAGTTGCGTGGCAAAGCTGGCGATCAGAGTTTCCGCGAGTCTTGCATCTCATTCCAGGTTACGGCCCGACTCCGGGACGAGGTCGCTCGCTCTCCCCTAAGCGTCCATCGCAGCTTGCTTGATGCGGATGCAGTTGGAGCAATCATTAGCAAGCGCTCTTAGGTTGACGGAAAGCTCTGGATTAAGTGCCCCGGATTCAGTGGGATGCTGAGTGCACCAGCATGTGCTTCGGCGACGAATGACGGATGTACAAACAGTGCCCGGACGCTGTGCGAGCCGAGTGTCTCCCCAGGAGTTCGGCGTGTCCGAGAGGCAGCTGAACGAGGCGTCGAGCTCTCTCGAGGAAAAACGGAGCTCTGAGGGCAAAAGTGGGAGCTCTGAAGAGCCCGCCTCCACTTCTGCGTTCGAACGGAGGCAACAGCAGCTGCGAGCAAGCTCTGGCCTCGGGCCTTTGCGGAGACCTGGCACATCGACGGTTTTATTTTTGAAGTTACTGACGGGAGCGGTCCGAACGGTGCTCAGGGTTATCACGCGGAAGCTCTCTGCAGGCTCGTGTTCTCGGCCAATGGAATCAGTGGAACCTTCCTAGACGAGTCTGGCTTGTTTCGACAGGTCAACATCCGAGCTCTGAGTGGCAAGATTCAGACTTCGGCAGCTTGGCTTGGCATGGCTTCTGGTCCTGCAGCGCCCTGTGCTGGAGAAACTCTGAGGTCTGGGCGATGAGCAAATACAGGCCAAGACGCAAGGGCCAAGTCGCAGGCGTCGAAGAGTTTTGCGTCTGCGGGAGGCTCTGGAAGCCAAGATCAGCAGCGGCCAGCAGGAGGCCGGAAGAGCGGACCTCGTCTGGAGCATGGAAGCATTTCATTGCCGACTCGCGGTCTTTGCCAGGCACAGGTGCGTACCATGAAGCCTCCAACACAAAGGCAGCGCAGCAACAGCGGACAGACACTGTGTCTCGCTCGCAAGATCGGGCGGTCCAGCATCAGCCCTTTTGTGTTCATGTGGTAGCTCGTGGCTCGATGTGCCGTGAGGCACTCAAACACTTGTGCACAACTTGGATCCTCGTTCAGACGTAGCTGAGTGCGATGTAAACTGCTAAGCCGCTATGCTCTGAAAGTGCGCACGGATTTCGAAGCAGTTCCCTCGCTTGTGCCTGCACACCCCGGCCCTGTCGGTTGAACTTCTCCGTCAACGAATTTTAGTTCACCAAGTAATGAGCCGTTCAAAGGCCTAGACATGCAGCAGTAGAATGTCGCAACCAGCGGGACAGTAGTAGGACTCACGTCTCACGTGCTGTGGCTGAATCTGTTGCTGAGGCCTGGTGCGCCAGATACAGGGACCCCGCTCCCTGCGCTCCGCGAGGCGAACTTCTTCCTTGTTTTTGCCACATCCGCTGAGCCAGAGCCTGTTAGCCTGTGCTCAGGCTTAGGCTCTTCAAGCACAACAGACTCCCACCTTCACTCCTTCACGGTCTTCACATCCTTGCGCTTTCCCTTGCCGCAGTTTTTTTTGCTCCTGCAGCCACGTGTTCCATGTTGCAGAAAGCGGCAAACATGCCATGACGTGTCTCGGGGCGATTGTGCCTGGGAGGTGTCAGAACAAGAGTCCTCTGACGCGTCCTTCCACGTCGTCCGGAGAGACAGTTCGGCCCTGAGACGCCCTGGGCCCTACGAAGAATGTGAAACTGATGGTTGAGTCCGACACACAAAAGTTTTTGATTAAAGCCCGCTTTTTTTTGGTTGCGGCGTGCTTCCAGGTAGTCGCGTGAGCAGCCTTCTGCGATTCGACAGCGAAAGCCTCTCCTTCGCGGCCCGGGGTCTCGGCCTCGGCTTCGGAGGCTTTTGGACGGCATCAAGCAACTCGGGGTGCCTCTCTGATGATCCCTCAGGGTCACAAAAAATCAGAGATCTGGTCGTCATGGTTTTCAGAGTTTTCAGTACCATCAAGCGTTCGTGTGGATCGAATCTGAACCCAATGGTCATCTCCCTCAGGGCCCAGGGCCAGCTACCCTTTTGACATTGATGTCGCTATCTCACACTGCTACTGCCAGCCTCCACAGCGGCTTTCATGTCCTTTGGCAAAGTCTTCTGCGCAGGTGCCGGAAGTGCGCCGTTTGAGTCCCGTGTCAGAGGCAGAAACCTTTTGGGCCTTGAACTGAGTCCTCTGGTTCGGTACCGATGCGAGGTTTGGCCTGCTTGGGACGTGCGAGACAGTGTTTTAACGCATTTTTGGGACGAGAAGAAGAAGGCCAGTCCGGGAATCCGACTCCTGGATGTGGGGCGGATCATACAGCTGCATGGAGTTGCGAACTGTCTAGTTTCCATCGGCCACCGCCATGTGAGGCGGCTACCATCGCTCACCCTAGGTGAGACCGTGAAGCTCCGGCTGAGCCGTTACCGCGACCCTTGATGTAGGGAGCACGAATCGGAAAAAATGCAGAGTTCGCTGCGTGAGGGTGAATCAGTTGAACAGCAGTTGACTGTCATTTCTGGTGTTGGTGGCATCTCCTTGTTGGTCGGCTGCAGCACTCGTTTGCCGTGTCTGAAGCAGCGGCAGCCAATTTAAAGAGAGGACAAGCAAGGAAGCCAAACTGCAAAGCAATGATGCTATACACAACAAGTGACTATATATAATGACTAGCCGCTAGCCACATCTAGCAATCTAGCCACAGAGGAGTCAGGGGGGAGGCGTATACCCATGGATAACTTGCTGGCAACGCCGCTAGAAAAAACTGAAATCGACGAGTTGCTCTCGTTGTTCCCCGACTTCGCTGGCACCGTGCCAGAGGAGGCACGTTTCTGGAAGAAGTCTGACCTGGAGCTCTTTATCGCAAGCAATGGCCAGCTGAAGCCCAAGGAGAACGAGGCCGCGAAATCCAAGAGCTGCCCGCTGCTTTCGAGAGCTCGACAGCGCCTTGCAGAGCTAAAGATCGGCGAGGCCTCGGCAGAGTACCTCTCTTGGACCCGTCACCGGCAGCGAACACTGCAGCAGTTGCCAGGACTGGAGAGGCCCTGCACACCTGTGCAGACTGCCACACAGGCACCTGCAGTTCCAAAGGTGCCTGTCGTTGTCTCAGCGAAAAGCTGGTGTGGCAGCTCTTGGGACATGGACTTTTGGAAGGCACTCGGCCATAATATGTGGTGGACGTGTCGCTCGCGCTCCCCGGCCTTTGAACATGACCGGAAAGCTGCAGACCGCGTTGATGTTGAAGCATCACCGCCAGAGTACATCGAGTACGCTCGGCTTCTTCATTCCATGGATCCTGACTGTCTGGAAGACAATGCGCTGGCCTTCCCACGCATCGTCATGGACGGCTGGTGTCCCTTCATCAGCACGGAGGGCGGTGCTCTTCTGGCGAAGCACTGGCGTGAACTGACGCCGGCTGGGGTGAAGGACATGTCGCCGAAGTGGATTAAGATCTTCACCACTGTCTTCACCATGGACTTCATGGACTTCTTTGCCCGATTCTACAAGCTGGCATTGGGAGCTCCAGGAAGCATCAGCCGACTGCACCGATCGAATAACGGCGCGCATGTCTGGCACCGGCAAATACAGGGCCGGCGCCTCTTCTTCCTCTTCCCTCCCCAGGACACAGCCAACCTCTCTGAGGCGGCCCGCATGTTGGGATCCGTGTCTTTTGGTTGTCCTTTTGTGGGACTTTCGGAAAATTAGGGTAGGGTACCTTATTTTGGGGTCCTTATAATAAGGACCTACTATATCCTACTATTTAGGGTGCTATATTAGGGTCCCCTATTTTCGGAAACCCCATATGTTGGCAGAGGAAAAGTGACCCCCCAAAAAGGGCAAGCATCGCGCAAAAACGGCGGCATTTTTGACGAGAGTGTGCATTGGCCAGGAAGAGGGCGCTGCAGTTGATCATCTGGAAGGCTTTGCCGAGTGATCGTTAGTCACCGTTAGTCTCCAAGCCCACATTTGCACCATTTCTCCCGGAATGGCAGAGGCCCTGCGAACCTCAACTGTGCTGTAGGATGGTTCGAGCCAGGCACGTGACGAAAGGTCGAGTTGTGAATGTCAGAGCAGGCTATGCAGCTTCAGTGAGCTCTGTTGACATCTTCTACCCAAGCGGCAAGAGGCAACTTGGCAGAGGAAGCTGTGTGAGTGCCAATAGACGGAGGTCTGCGGTTGCATGTGGGTGCAGCATCCTGCATAGCGGCTGGCAGCACGAAGGCATGCAGCCTTTGCGAAGGCCTCTGCGCAGGCTCGCAATAGAAACCTTACCATGTCTTTACCAGGTTTCGCACTTTATGAGTGCACTTTCATCTTGATACTTTTGCTCAGTCCGTCGTGCTTCATCCCGGAGAATCGTTGATCATCCCAAACGGATGGCCCTCCCCTCGATCTATCAGAGCTTTTGGTACTTCGGTGGTGGTTCAAAGAGTCTGCTGAGTTCAGGTGGCACTACGCAGTTCACCTGGAGCCGTCTGTCACGCATGCTTCTCAGGATCTGCACTCTAGCCAGTGTCTGTCGCAGCAGTCTTCGGGCTGCCGTTCGAGTCGACAGGTTGCACCACCCATTCTGGGGGATTCAGAACCGATCTCACTTCTCCGAAGAGTTGCGCGAGGCCGTCGGCCGGCTGTGATCTGTGCTCAAGTGTTCCTTAATTCATGGCCCCACACAAATTCGAGGCTTTCATTGCCAGCAAGATGCCGCCGGAGCTTCGCGAGGTTGCTGCAAGGCGAGTTGCGGGGAGTCCAGCACAGCACATCCGCAGAGCTGAAGTTTTCCGAAGTCGCCTTGACTCCTTCATGCCGACTTGCTCTGAATGACATGCCAGGAACATCTCGCAAATCCATGAGCGCATCATGGAGGACGATGATGACGATTCCGACTATGAGGTATGAAAAAGAGTCTGTGCTCTCAGTACCTATAGTCGTTGATGCTGTTGATGATACAAACCCTGCACCTTAAGGCTCCTACACTATGGGAATTATGGTACATTGCTTAGTGGGTAGTGCAGGATTTTTTCATCATCCGTAGTTGACACCAGTAGACCCCGATTCTTCACCGGGCCAGGGGCCCTCACCGCTCATCTGAGTTCCAGTGGCTGGACCTCGATTCCTACATCCATCTCGCTGAATGCATCGGTAGTGTCAGAGCACACGTTGCAATGACATTCGCTGTCGAGCCCAGTAGATCGTTTTGCGACACCGAACTGAATGCATCGTATTTGCGCACGTCTGAGCACGCCCAAGTTCGGTTGCATAACTTTGATCGACTAATCACTTTCGAACTTCGTTGCTGTATTTGTTCGTATATAGCTGAGCATAATCTCGAACGATCGAAACTCAGCAGGCTTGGGTTTTTGCTAGTTCAAATTCACAGGTGAGATGCAAAAGTGAACTGATTCAAAGCACGGCTTAGATCTGTATGACCTGCATGATGCCCGTCTGTCAGGTCTCACTGCTTGCAAGAGACAGCTGGAAAATACTGATCGACATCAATATTATTACATCGACACTTGAATCGGTGGAAGTTGGGAGCCAAGTCGAGAGCACAACAGCAGAAAGATCAACAAAAAAGGCCGCAGAGTTTTCACCTAGCCGCGTAGTTTGGACAAAGCCATGGCATCGCATCTCGTGAAGGGCGCTTTGGTCCACCTCTCCGGGCCCCAAGAAGAGGTGGGTTTTAGTTGTCTGTTCCTTGAGTCTTTTGAGCTTTTGGCTTTCCGGAGGTGCTAGAGCTCTTCGTGAGCGGTGAGCCCTCCTTGGAGGCCTTGGGCAGCGTGGACGTGGAAGGCGGGGCGCAGCTGCAGCGCTTCGACCGAGCCTCCCAGCGATGGCTGGCGCTCACCTTCGATGGGCGGCTCGTTCACACCACAAAGGACCTGAGCCAGCTAAGACCCTTAGAGGTGCAGGACCTGGGCATTGACTTCGTGGTGGGCCCAAGCTCGAATCGCGAGGTCTTGGCAGAAGCCATGGCTTCCAAATTGGTTTTAGATGGGTTTTGTGTCAGCCAGACACTGGATAAGAGAACGGAGATCTCGGAGATGCTGAGCGCCACCGAGGCGCATGTCAGCTTCTCTCGAATTCCAGCCGAATTCGAGCCCTACTATATGGGCCTGGAAAGCAAGGAGAGACATGCCTTGATAGATTTCGAAGAGTGCTCCGATGAATTAACACGGATCTTTAGCGATGCAGACACGAGACTCACGCGCCTTGGTGACAGCGTCTCGGTGGCTTTGAGGGAGAAGCTCGGGACCCGGATAACCGGAAGAACCAATTTGATGGTCCGGCAGAGCTTCTCCAACTCGGAGGAGGAGGCAAAGTGTCAGCCGGTGGACCATCCGGGCAGCAGTGAGCGGGAGATGTTCATGAGCCTGGTCAAGCGGCGGAGAGTCTGTGTGATGCACTTTCTGGGGCCTCGCACTGGCAAGCTCAGACTGATCTCCCGGCACGGAGGTCAGGAGGTTGAGATCGAGGCTATGTCGATCCGGCTTGAGCCCTGCATCGTGGCTGCTTCCTTTCCTGCCAGGCCTCGCCCGGCAAGATGGTCCTCTTCATGACCGAGCGCTTCCAGCAGCTTGGCTTCAAGACGTCTGCTTGCGGATCATTTTCTGGCTCCCGCATGTCGCCAGCGACAGGTACAGCCACACATGCGAGGGTAGAACAACAACCCTCCAAACTTGGCTCCTCGGCGTCAACTAAGAGAGACAGGACACGGCTGTGAGTGGCCTTTGAAGGTTGCTGGGCCAACGGCCAGAGTACTACATGCAGAGCTTCGGAGGCGACCTGTCGGTGCAAGCCCCAGCTTATGAGAAGGAGAGAGAGAGAAAGTGATCTCGACACTGCCTAGGTCCTGGCGCCCATCGCTGAGAAGGGGATAGATCCTCCGAAGGTGCACTCATCGTAGGAATCGCTCGTCAGGCAAGCATTGCAGACGGGGGACGAACTTGGCAGGGTGAAGGTGTGGTGGTCACGGGCGTGGCAACTCAGATTGGTGGTGACTCAAAGGACTGGTTGGGGTCCGGGTGATGGACGGCCGGTGCGAGTCCTGTCTCAATGTCTGTCAGCGAGTGCAAGGACCACAAATGCTACTGGCTGATGTTCAACAAGGCCCCGGACTATTTTCCGCTGTCCGTGTCCTCCACACGATAGCATCCTCATCTCTTATGCCTGTGAGTTTGTCAGGCTGGTACGGACACTGCCGTTTCGACGCCGATTACACGCTGCGGCCTCAGGGTCTATCTGGCATCTGAAGGGCTTTCTCGACAGTGAAGCAGTCAAAATTCACCCTGCCAGGCTACGACATCTCCGACTACTGTTTTGATGGGTCAATGCAAGCCGGAAGCTCAAGTTCATGCCAATGAGCCAGCAAAGTCGATGATTTGTTCGTGGCCACAGGAAGCTCAGCAAGCCGGCAAGTCCTACACGCCCCACCAGGCCGGCGTTTGAGCGCAACTGCGGACATTGGTCAACATGAGCAGGGTCACGGAATTCAAGGTGAGCACTTGGACCAAAGAAGTGCAGATGAACTCATAGCCTTTTTGGACAGTCTTTGCAGGGTAGTTAGGCAGGCTGCCAGGCGGCATCGTTTTTGAGGAGTTCTCACTGGCAGTGAGTTGAGGCACGCTGTAGAGACGGAGCTATGAGGGCCTGGATGCAGCGGCGGTGCTTCAGCACAAAACTTTTCATGGCCCGGCTGGGGCCGCTCTTGGGACAAAGAAGCAGTCGCTGGTGGCAGAGACTGGAGCGGAGCTCGGTCACCGCGTCCAGAGGCCAAGACGGGGCCTCCGAGATCTCGTCCTTTGCTCTGCGCCTGGAGTGGGAGGTGCTTGGGCCAGAGGTTGGCCCCATCCAAACCGTGGTGACCCCAAGAGGTCAGCTCAGCCGCGATGCTGCCAGACCCTTGGCCTTTGCCATCGCCCAACGCGGCAAGCGGGTGCTGCTTTGGGATCGCCGCTGCACGGGAAACTCCAGTGCTTGGGCGTCCTGGGAGGAGTCCCTACCAGAACAGGAGGTGCAGGACCTAATGTGTCTACTCGATAGTCTTACTTCGAGAACCCCTGTGAGTTTGGTGGGTCTCAGCTCGGGTGCCAGGCTCTCTGCATTGTTTGCTGCTCGCCATCCCCAGCGCGTCTTGAGTTTAGTCCTTCTGCCTACGGGTGACTTCCATGGCGCTGCCTCCATCTTGGGCCGTGCCTACTATGGTGACTGTGCCGACACGGCAGAAGCCGGTGGCATGGAGGCGCTTGTCGCAGCAGAAGGCAGCCACTTTCAGGCCTTGGCCAAGAATTCTTCAAGGGCACGTGACGAGTTGCTCGGTGCCGATCCGAAGGACTTCATCTTAGCCATGCGCAGGTCACAAGCCTTCCTCGACGGCTTCAAGGGGAGCAACCTTTTGGGCCTTCACGCCTCGGAGCTCGCAGGGCTTCAAAGACCAGCTCTGGTGCTCCACCACGGCCTGGAGGATGATCGCCTTCATGCTCTGGAAGATGCGATTGCTTTATCCGAGCAGCTCTCTTCTGGAAGGCTTTTGGTGGAGCCAGATGCTGGGCGGTGCAAAGAAGCTGTTGCAGACTTCGTGAATCAAACCTAGGGCCCGATCTGCAAGGCATGGCGGATCCCGCGCCAGGTGTACGACAGCCAGACTCACCCAAAGCGATGCGGCGACTCCGAATCTGCACTGCGTCGACTGGCATGCGGGGAGAAGGAGATGACCTCAAACCCCACCTCCTTTCCACAGCTGTACACATCACAGATTCCATTCTCGGGACTGGAAATCAGCCAAGGCTTGTCCGGGCAGCATGTTGGTTCCACCGACAGCGGAACCCGCCACAACTTTTAGAGATGGTCATTGGCGCAGAGACCTGTTGCATCACGGTCTTTTTCGGCCAAGCGAGGAAAGGCCGGGCATCGGGCCCGAGGCCTTGCAAGGCCGTGCAGGGTGCAGGCTACAGCTCTCCTTTGGCGCTGCTTGCGATGAGCTAAAAGAACTGTCTGTTAGTTTGTCTCAGCTTGCCAACATCGATGACATGAGGCTGAGGCTTTCTAGCTTGCGCCAACATACAGTGTACGACACCTTCCGGCAGGGATACGTGGACGGCATCGAGTTCTTCGACGCCAAGTTTTTTGGAATTTCATCGATGGAGGCGAGGCTCTCGCAAGAGTCCGCATGTGACGGGTGCTGCAGGACACCTGCTTAGGGTCAGTGTGGTTTGACATGTGTAGGACTTGAGCTCTTTCAATGGCAGAGTTCTTTCAGTGGAAGGCCGAGTCGATGGACCCGAACCAGCGCAAGGCCATCGGCGCTTTTGTCGATCTTACCCGGCCAGCTTGTGCTGATTGTACTGAGATGCCGTAGCGTTCGCAACCAATCCTCTGCTCAAGACACGGAGCAGCAAGTTCAGACCGAGTGACGTGCAAGACATCACTGAGCTTGAGAGTGTACCCTTCCCGGCTCTTGCAGCCCCTGCATCGCATTTTCTCCTCGTCTCAGTTGTGCTCGGTTTGTTGAACGTGGTAGTGCGCCATGGGGACTTTGCGACTTCAAAATGTGGCAGTGGAGGTGCAGCTCCAGGAAAAAGGAGTGCCGGGTTCCAATGCCAGGGCCAAATGGAAGCACTGGGGCGCAAGGTGGGCCCGGGAAGCCGAAGTTCGAATTCAGCCCAGGTAGCAAGACAAAAGGTCCAGGAAGTTCAATCACTGCGTGAAGCCTGGGAGTTTGCGATCTCTTTCAAGGCCTATGCCCAGCTAAGCCATTGGCGCTTTGCGGCATGCTTGCTTACTCGAATGCCACAGCTTCGTGTTGATCCCGATCCAGTTTGCTTCCGGACAGTTGCCGACGGCTGCACCAACGTCAGTGTCTGGACGGCATCCCTTGCGACACTGGATTTCATGGAGGCAGGTAGCGGAAGCGGCAGCGTATCAGCGGACCAGGCGAGCGCCAAGTCGGCCATGCGAGCATGGCGAGCATCGGGTCGATGGAGCCAGGTGCAGCAACTTCTTGCCGAAGTCTGCCAGGCTTCTTTGCAACTGGACGTCAGGGCCTGCAACACTGCGCTCGATGCGGCTGGTAGCAGCCAGTGGAAGGAAGCCAGGATGTTGCTGCAGAGCCTCCAATTCAAGAGCCTCGAGCCCAGCCAGGTCTCCTACAACTCGCTCTGTCGAGCTCTTGGTGGCAAAGGTTTTTGGCAGCTTGCCATGTGCGACATGGAGAACAGTGGAAGCGAGTGCTTGAGGATGGACGTGATTGGGCTAAACACGCTGCTAGCGAGCTTCACAGACCCGGGCTTGTGGAGTCGCAGCCTCCACGAGCTGACACGGACCCCGGTGACGTTGGACAGTGTCAGCTACAACTCCGCAGCCTCGGCAGCGGTGCAAGGGAGGTGGCCTACTGCTGTGCAGCTACTCTCCACGATCAACAGCTCGGCGCTCTGTCCGGATTCCTTCACGGTGAACTTGTTGATCAGAGCCAGTTCCGAGTCAAGCTGGAGTTCGGCCTTCTCAGCCTTGCAGCTCGTCGCGGAGACGCAGCTCCGGCCCGGATCTATGGCGTACCTGGCGGCTCTTCATGCATGCAGGATGGATCGGAGAGTTGTGTGGGAGTGCTTCAAGCATCGCCCATTGCCCCGGCAGGACTGACCCCTCCTGGTCTGCCGCGCTTATGCTGCTGGAGCGATGGACCTGGAAACCCTCTGCTGATGCTTGCCTCTTGCAGGCCGGCTTTCCGAAGAGAAACGGGGCAGCTAGGGACGGGGCTCTGAGAAGTGGACTTGCCCATCAGGCACGCAGTGCATTCGACAGAATGGGAAGCTGGAGACCAGCACTGCTCCAGCAAGGCCAGCAAGCGTGCAATGCGGCTGTCGGTGGACACTTCAAGTTGCTGCAGGGACACTCCGGTGGCAGCTGGCCTTGGTTTCTCTTGAAAGCAGGCCAGGAAGCCTTCAGAAATGGAAGTCGCTTAAGAGACAGTGGCCAGCGGCTGTCGCATTCGTAGGCAGGACTACAACGAGGCGATCATGGCCTGTGAAGACAAGAGATGGGAAGCTGCGATGGGTCTGCTGAAGGCGTTGAAGGCCCATCTGGTTCCGGACTTGGTCAGTCCCCTGGAGGAGACTCTGCTCTTGTCGTGTTGTCGCATGCCGCAGCATGTCGCGGCATGAGCAATGCATCACACCACACTGCACCTCTCAGGCTACAATGCGCTGCTGGCATCCACGCACTGGCGTTTGTGCATGGAGATCCTTAGCCAGATTCGACCAGATGTTGTGAGTTGCCTGGCAGAGAGGACATGGCCTTGCAACTGCAAACAAATGAGTCCACGTCAGTAATTAATTGAGAGACTCCAAATGCGAGGCTTCACCGCGGCCATCAACTCATGCGATAGCTTTGCTTGGAATCAGTCAGTGGCGTTGCTCAGAAGGCGGGCAGAGCAGAGTGCTGACTCGCCTGAAGCAGAGTTCTCGAGCGCAGGATTTCAGGAATGTCCCTGCGTCTGGACACTGTGAGCTGTAATGCCGGCTTGATGCTTGGACTTGAATAGCGGGCTCTCGCGGTGTGCGAGAGCTTCCGTGAACAGAGTATGATTCGGCTGCAGCCTCCGAGGACTGCCTGTGGTTCCTCGCTTGGCTGGACGGGCTCAATCTTGATGCTGCAAACGCTGGCGGACAGTTTACTGGAGACAGATCGTGTCAGCTGTCACAGCTCTGTGACAGTGCGGCTAGGCGAGAGTTGTGCTGCATGCAAGCCGGCATGGCTTCTGCTGCTTGTTCTTGTTCATGAGGTGTGGCTCGGCTACACACTGGCGAAAGGGGATCTTGCTCTTTGAGCTGATGAAGGCATGCGCCGAACCCGAGTCCATGTCAGTTAGCTTCAGATAGGCAGAGAGATGCGACTGTTGGAGTACCGCATGCAGCTCGCGGCTGCTGCTTAGTTGTCCTCTAGGCTACTCAGAAAGCAGCCTGGTGTGGCCTCGCTGATGCTCAAACCGGTAACTTAAACCTGAACGACCATTTGACCACTCCCTGCACAGCCAAACTCGTGCTGCATATTTGTTTCATTTCGGGCAGGGACACTGGTTGCCGTACGACGAGGTGAGCTACAATGCTGTGCTAGGCACCCTGGCATCATAGCAGTAGCAAGTATCCAGGAGCCAGGAGCCAGAGCCAGTACACAGTAGCAAGCAGCAAGTAGCAGTAGCAGTTGCAGCAGGGGGAGAAGGAGGAGCAGCAGTAGTAGTATCACTAGCAGTGGCAGTAGTAGTAGCAGAAGTAGTAGCAGCAGTAGCAGCAGTAGCAGTAGTAGCAGTAGTAGCAGCAGTAGCAGCAGTAGCAGTAGCAGTAGCAGTAGCAGTGGCACTAGCAGTGGCAGTGGCAGTAGCAGTTGCAGCAGGGGGAGAAGGAGGAGCAGGAGGAGGAGTAGTAGCAGCAGTAGTAGTATCACTAGCAGNNACTAGCAGTAGCAGTAGCAGTAGCACTAGCACTAGCAGTAGCAGTAGCAGTGGCAGTGGCAGTGGCAGTGGCAGTGGCAGTAGTAGTAGCAGTAGCAGTAGCAGTAGCAGTGGCAGTGGCAGTAGCACTAGCAGTAGCACTAGCAGTAGCAGTAGGAGTTGTGGTAGTAGTACTACCAAGTAGTAGTAGCAGTAGCAGTAGCAGTAGGAGTTGTGGTAGTAGTACTACCAAGTAGTAGTGGTGGTAGTAGTAGTAGTAGTAGCAGCAGCAGTAGTGGTAGTACTTGTAGGGCCTGATCTGGACGTTTGCCCGCATGTATTTGGCAGCTGCAAGCGTTTGACTCGGCAAATACGAGTTGCTTGAGATTTCACATCGGAACTTGACAATAGCGAATATTGCAGCAAGAATGTTCACATGTGAAGATTCCCTGCTGGATCCAGAATCAGAGCACAAAATGCTCGTGCAGGGCAGCAGGTTTTTCCGACTGTCGGCACCCCGCCACAGTCGTTTGAGGAAGCGCTTAGCACGGCCTTCCAGGCTCGAGACGGGAGTTCTGTTTTTGCATGTTTTTTGGGAATGCCGTGCGTACATCTTCCACGCGCCCGACACGGATGGGGTCTTGGTGGACGCTATCTTGGATCATGGTTGGGGCATGGATGCTCTGCGGCACGAAGCAGTAGTGGTTGTTGTTGTTGCTAGTGGTGGTGGTGGTGGTGGCGGTGGTGGTGGTGGTGGTGCTGCTGCTGCTGCTGCTGCTGTTGCTGCCGTCGTTGCTGGTGTTGCCGTTGTTGCTACTCTTGCTGCTGCTGCCGTTGTTGTTGCTGCTGCTGCCGTTGTTGTTGTTGTTGCTGCTGCTGTTGCTGTTGCTGTTGCTGTTGCTGCTGCTGCTGCTGCTGCTGCTGCTGTTGCTGTTGCTGTTGCTGTTGTTGGAATTGCAAACATTTCGGCTGCTTAGTCAGGTGCCTGTGCTGATGGCCAGTTTCACAATGACTCCAGGCGTGCTGACATGCTTCTTGCTGACTCACTCGAGCGTTGGGAAGCGAAAAAATCAGCTTGCCAGTCTGTTCCGATCATCAGCATGCGAAGTTTGGCTGTGCCTGGCAATCAAAGATCCACTGCAATGCAGACCTTGGAAGTGTCGTACGAAGTCGTCAATATGGCTGGCACACGTCACAGATTCTGCTCACTCTAGCCGACGCGGCATCACCCGCATTCTCCACATTCGAACCAGGCTACGACTTGCCAAGCCTGCAGAAGTCGTCGAAGAATATTGGCGGACTCCTCGACTGAGTCAGTTGTCCGATGTGAGATCTGACTGACGCATTGCCAGCTTGCTGCAGGTGTTTTCGTCGGTGTCAGTGGATCGGAGTGGCCACGCGCCCTTTCTTTTGTGCACTGAGCCGTGGCTTCTGTATCATTGGTCCCCAGGGGTACCGTGCCTCACAAAATGGATGCAGCGGGGTGCGGAAGTGCCTCGCTTAGCTTCGACATGAAGTTGCCCAGTGAAGAGCCCAATGGAGTTGCGTGAGGTGCAGAGGCCATCATCTCGAATCGTGTGAACTTCGCACTGAACCTCAAAGGAGCCAGCCGGTGCCACAGAAGAATCGAAGTCGGGTGAGCCAATACTCAAAATGCTAAAACGAGGTCAAACGATCAACACCGCGTGCTCCTCCGGCCTGGTAGCGGCGGCCCATGCGTCCGAGTGCCTGCGCAGCGCGTTGCCTTGCGTCCCTTTTGACAGAGTCAACCCGCACTTGTTGTTGACGGGCTCTCAGTGTCTGTCAGCAAAATTGGCTGCTTGCACGTCAGACGGGAGCCATCTTAGTCTTGCAATAAGCACCAACACGTGGCGTGCTCTTCCGACAAACGACAGCATCGACAGCCATGGCCGATGATGAGAATCCCGATGATGGGCCTGGCCTTATCAAGCTGGATATGAGACTCCGAGGCAGAGAAGCACAAAAGTATCAAGGCCTCTCTCATCCATAGAATGTGCTACTGTTCGGTTCAGGGGAGCGTGTCTTTCCAGCCAAGGAAGCAATTTGGATCTGGCACTATGGAGGACCCTCTGCGCCACGCCGTTGGCATGCGCACTGCGCAGGTGCCATGGATAGGATGGGGCACCTGTGATTTGAATGCATTCCCAACTAAAAAGGATGGGGGGCTAGCCAAGGACCAGTACAAGATGCAGATGTGGAACAGCTTTCCGTCCCTCTTCCAGAACACCATCTTCCATGGTGAGCAGGACCTCAGATGCGCCAACCAGGCATCGTTTGTGACGTTGGTGTCAGACCAGAGGGCAAGCCACATCTCGGCAGGATGCGGAGATCAAGCGGCTGCGCCAGTCCGGATCTCTGGACGAGAAATTGCAGCGAGCAAAGTTGCTAAAAGAGGAAGGCAACAAGCTGCTAAAGTCATCCACCACAAGAAGGACCGGTGGAAGCCAGCTACATTCCCCTGAGAATGGGCGGCGCAGGACCTCTGACGACGAAGCCAGGAAGGAAAAGGAAGCGGAGCAAGAGCTGGACACCGGGATCCAACGGTATTCAACATCTCGCAAGACACGCCTTCTGCAACTTACACCGAAAACCATAGACAGAATGCCACCGGTCGAATGGGTTCTCATTGAAAGGCATCCGTTCATTGTCTGTGTGACGCCGGCCAAATGGCAATTTGGTGATTTCCGAGTATTTGTTGCCATCTCCGAAGCAGTCAAAATCCGGGCAGTTTGGGGAATGCAAGTGAAGCATTCAAGATTTGCCTAAACAGAGGCGTCCCAAGTAAAATAGGTACTGTGACTTAGTTTTCGGGTTGGGCTCAGTTATGTTTGAAGATGATGGGCTTTCCCGGCCCAAACAGGCACTTTGGCCTATTGTTCGTGTTGGGGGGAACTGAGCCAATTTCGCGAGAGTTCGTTGACTGAGGGCTTTCCCAAGCGCAGTCGAAGCACGCGCGTTTTTGCTGTTCCTGCATGATTTTGATCATGTTGGGCATCCCCAAAGCACCCCAATTCGCCAGACCACAAGCACATTTTGGCTCGATTTCGGGAAATCCAACTCGCCAGTTCAATGTTTTTTGGACACTGTCGGGCGGGTTCTAAAACACCCAAAAGTAGCGAGAACCATCAAGGCCAATTGTGATGATTGAGCAGGCATTTTGGCTTGGTTGCAGGGTTTCGCGGGCGAACGAACCACCAATTGGGACATTTGAGGATTGTGTCAAGGTTGCCACAAATGGCGAATCTCAACAAATTTTAATGAATCTGATTTTTCCGTCCCACAGCACCTCAAACTTATGGAGTTCTGGGAATTCCAAACAACCATTTCAGTGGTTTGAAACTGTTCCGGGTTTCTGAAAGCACCCAACGACAGTATTCAAAACATACCGGGGAAAACACGAACATGTTGAATCTCTGTTAATTTCAGGTGGGTTCCTCAACGCAGCCAAAAAAAAGCGTGGTTCTCGCGATTTGCGACCTGCAACTGCCTAGTTTGAGCGATTTGGGGATTTCCCAAAGAGCTTGCTTCGAATGAGCCAAGTCATAGTTTGTACACATGCTCTTTTGTCAATGGGGGGTTGCTCGTGTGTCGAACGGCAAAGTTTAATGATCTTCTGTCATGTCGGGCATCGATTTTTCGGATTTGGGGACCCTGGACCCTGACATCCTTAACTCCTGGGTTCTGAAAGTTCGACTTCAACCCTTGGCGCCTAAACTACACCCTGCACCACTTAGACTTAAACCCGAAAGCCCTGTAGAGATGCACCTGATGCCAGGAGGAGCAACTGGAAGCACAAATCTGGGAGAAAGAAAAGGAGCTCAAGGACACCGGCCATGTCAGGTTTCCTCGCGACGCGACTGCCTCTGCTGGCTGCTTCTCAAGATCCCTATAAAAAAATGGCCGAGGACTTGCGGCAGCAACTTGCAGCACTGAGGGCAAGAGCTGAGCGCACTGCGCCCAAGGAGGCCGAGGCCGAGCTCAGATGTCGAAGCCGAAAGGGGGATCATGCATTGCTTTTTTGTTGCAGGAAGTCGAAGAAGATGATGAGCAAGAGCAGAAAAGCTTGGATGCTGCTGTGCGCTCGTATGAGAAAGCAGCCGGATTACTCAGCCACTTGCTGTAAGAGATTGACCAACTGCTGTCTTGTGTGACGCCATGCCTCACGGCTACTGGTGAAGAATCCTAGGATATGTCGAGTGCCTTCGGCAAGACTGGAAGAACGATGACGGCTCTTACAAGGTGCCCCCTGCAAGCATCATGCCGCAAGTTATTGTTGAAGGAGATGTATCTGTAGTCGTCCGTCCTGTCAGTGTCTATCCGCATACAAGCAGGAGTGACACCTCTGGCCCCACACGCAACTTGTTTTCAACCAGAGAATCACGCTGGAAGCCTCAACATCGGAGCCTTCTGGGCTTATCCCGTCCCTCTCACACGCTCCCTCTTCTGTCCCTGGTCTCAGCTCTCAGCTCGCAGGGCATCGAGGACGACTTCCTCCGCGTGGAGGAGACGGCCTTGGACTCGGCAGAGGCCTCCGAGCTGGTGCAGTCCTGCTATTTGCCTCTCGCTTTACAAGCCTTGCAGCGTCTTACAATCTGCTGAGACGTCGTAAAAATGTTCCCGGGCGGCTCTCAGGAACATCGCGCTGGCCTGTCAAAAGCTTCGAAAGTTCGACGACATGAAGCGAGCGTGCGACGAAGTCTTGGAGAAGGTGAACCCCGACAGCGCGCCTCGGTTGGGATCGGGGTGTGGCTGATTGGCAGTTCTCTGCTGCACCAGCTCCTTCTACTGACCAATGCTTACTGAGGTCAAGGCCTTGTACCGGCGTGCGCAGGCACGCCTGGCACCAATCTCGGCCAAGGATACAGATCGTGAGGCTGCCATCCAGGAAGCGTGCCGATGCTGGCCGAAATATCCACCAGGGTATACTAGACGCACCACCATCCGCGCAGGATTTGATGGCGGCTGCACGGCTGGCCCCCAATGACAAGGAGGCCAGCATTCTAGAACTCCATGCCTCTGCCACTTGCTTTCTTGCCAGCATCATGCGTCAGGTGCGGAATATGCTGACCAAGCTTCGGAAAGAGAAGAAAAAACAGGAGAGATCCGCTGTGTAGCAACTGCGCAAGTGCGCAGAAAGGACTTCATTGTGGCGAAGCAGCTGTGCCGACTGAGCGACATGGAGCTGCAGGAAATGGAAGACAAGAGCACGTTCGGAGGCCTCTTCCAGCGCGGGGAGGTGGTGCGGAGCTCGGGCTCTTGTACTTCTAAGGCCGACGCCAAGCCCTTTCCATTTCAGGTCAAGAACGATTACAAGTCGGAGCCTCCACCAGCTGCTCCAGCTAAATGGGATCTGAACGATCCGAAGGTCCAGGAGTTCCTGGACATCCGGCCTGGGCCAGGGGGGATGCAGTCATGCTGAAGGCCCCCCGATGCCTCGAGCCGCCACAGAAAGCAGAAGGGCGTGGCTGAGATTGCTTGAAATCCTGAGAAGGCTGTTAGTCCTGGCCTAATTCGGGCTATGGGCTGGGGACCTGAGAGCGAGCAGATGAAACCGTCAGCTTGCTCTCGGACTCCACGGTTGATATCGCTTTGTACAGTGTCCTGACCTGGCTTGATCCAGCTGTGCATGTTGTTCTATGTGTCAGGGCACCCCAGCCCTGAAAGAGACCTCTCGAAGTGACATTCGTCACCCGGTGTCTCAGTTGTGGATCGAAGGCAGTGCCCTTGACGTCTTGCACATTATAGCGAAGCTCTCTGCCAAGCACGGAGAGCTGATTTCACCAAGGCAACGCACACTGGAAAGGTGCACCTGAAGTACAAGGACGGCCTGCAACATGTAGGTATTCACCATCGCAGATTAACCGGAGCGGACGTCACCTTTATGCAAAGCTGTAGTTTGGAAACGCGAAAAGGGACAAGAGTGCCAAGGGTCGACAGAACAGTACGAGAGATAAACACTCGACTCGCTGAAGAGGACTTCGATCCCCTGGACGGCACGATTTGTTGTGGAACGCAGCTAGCACTGCGCTGAGCGCCTGACCGTAGAATTCTTGCGAGAAGTCCCGTCGGCTTCTGAGGCTTATGGTCCATTCGGCTTCGTGGGCTGCTGCAGTGGTGCCTCACTCAAGACCACCGCAGACCGCATTGTAGCGACTGTATTGGTGGAGATGTCGCCCAGAGCTTGAGCAGCGCCCAACAGGTGGCATGCTCTCCTTCAAGGGCCGATGCTTCACGTACGATGTTTCAGCGGATGGGTACTTGCGGGGTGAGGCTGGGAGCCTTTGCGCCGCTTTTGCGCCGCTACTTGTCAGTGTGCCTCTATCTCCACGTGCCAAGGGCGTGTCCAGCATTTTCTTGGAGCTCAAGGAGTTTGGTCGGGAGGCCTGCCAGCAAAGGGCGCAGGGTTGGCTTCTGGGCACCCGCAGTCGGCATAGACTCGGGTTGCATGGCCCGCTCTGTTACAAGATGTATAATGGCACTGGTGGGGAAGTCCTCCCATGGCTTCAAAAGGAAGGAATACAAGAGTGACTTTTTTTGACTTTGAAATCGCAG